GTTCAATGCATTGCATGCTTGAACCCTAATAATAATAATAATAAGAAGAATAATAAGAAAAACTCTAACAAAAACAATAGGGTCCTACGCACTGCGTGCTTGGACCCTAAATATAGCCGCAAGCGGCAATGAGCGGGTTCAAGCATGCAAAAGCAGTACGGGCCCTTCTGCAGGTTTAGCCTATTAGGCCAAAAAAGGCCTCAAGGTTTTGGTTTAGCCCATTAGGCCTGAAAAGGCCTCAAGCTTCTCGTTTGGCCCATTAGGCCTAAAAATGCCTCAAGCTATGGGTCTTATTCATAGGCAGAGTGAATAGAACTGAAAGGAAGTCAGTTCATCAAAGGCCATAAACAGTGAGCAGAGGTCTTTAGTTCTAGACTAGTTCGCAAAAGTAGGTTTCGCATATTTGGCAATATTGCGAAAAAAGGCCTCAAGCTTTTGGTTTAGCCCATAGGGCCTAAAAAGGCCTCAAGCTGTCGGTCTTATTCATAGGTAGAATGAATAGAACTGAAAGGAACTCAGTTCATCAAAAGGCCTTCAGTTGCCTTAAACAATGAGAAGAGGTCTTTAAACACATTATAGGTTTACATTAATATGTACTGATCTACACTGGTTTGTGGAACATTCAAAAGGTTGTCAACATACATGTCAAAACTACATGACTAATGGCAGCATTTCTCACATAGTAGCACTTCCACAGTGGATTGGTTCTATATTTAAGCCATTGATTTCATGTAGGCCATAATGAGGCCCAATGCACTCATAAGAGGCCCTATTGGTGTGAGGAGCTCAGTGAAAGTGGGTCAGAATTAGTGAAAAGGCCACAGTACGGTATCATTCTTGATCAGGGACCATATCCAAATACGTTCACCAAGTTTTGGTTAGAATGACCTTTTGACCTTTGTATAATAAGCCTTTGTATAGTGAAATCTTTGAATGAATAAGCCAAAATAAAAGACAAGCAGTGCAATTTTTGACATAACATGTAATTAGAACGTTGTTCATCTTAGTGGACTGAGTCACATGGCACCAATTGTTTATATGTCAACCCTGTAATAACATTGTAATAGCATTTTTATTGATTTTTAAGTGTTTTTGAGTGCTAATGAACCCCCTAAACGCCAATCTGGACCAAACTTGGCGTACTCCATTATAGTCTCAATTTGTATAAATACTCAAAGTTTGGACAGGATCTGACCAATGACTAATGAGTTATAGCTGATCAGGCTAGCAATGCCATGGCTGCAGTAATTAATTGATTGATCCACATGATGCTGAGTAGAAAAGTCAATATCTTTTTGATAATTTTTGAGGATCAGTGTCTTTTGAATCTTAAGATACTAATTTGATGATAATTGGCAAAATATCCAGAGACTAGTTCGCAAGAATAGGTTTCTCACATTATGCAAATTAGCTCAAAAACTAAGGGGCTGGGGCAAAAATTGAGTGCACTTGTTCAGCATGTCCCAAGGAATCAGCAGAAAAAAGAATTTTGTCTCTATCTCACTCTGATCAAACGTTACAGGCAAAAATATGAGTAAAGTTGAAAAAGATGAAAAGTTGAAACATAGGGCTAAAGTAAAGTATGAGCTCAGTGAAAGTGGGTCAGAATTAGTGAAAAGGCCACAATATGGTATGATTCTTGATCAGGGGCAATATCCAAAGATGTTTACCAAGTTTTGGTCAGATTGACCTTTTGACCTTTGTATAATACGCCTTCGTATAATGTAGTCTTCGAATGAATAAGCCAAAATACCAGACAAACAGTACAATTTGTGACAGAACATGTACTTAGAAAGTTATTCAGGTGAGAAACCTGAGTCGTATGGCACCATTTGTTTATCTGTCGACCTTGTAATAACATTGTAATAGCATTTTAATTGATTTTTAAGTGTTTTTGAGTGCTAAAGCGCCCCCTAAAGGCCCATCTGGACCAAAATTGGCATACACCATTAGAGTCCAAATATGTAAAGGTCCTAAAAGTTTGGACATGATCTGACCAATGACTGCTGAGTTATAGCTAATCAAGCTAACAATGCCATGGTCACTGTAATTAATTGATTGATCCACACGACCCTGAGTAGAAAAGTCAAAATGTTTTTGATAATTATTTACCTAGACATGCCAAATAATTGTTCTAGACCAAGTTCGAAAAGATTGGATCAAAATCCAGGGACTAATTCGAAAAGTAGGCTTTTTAAACAGTTACCGATTACAAAAAAACTATGCAGTTTTGTAATAAATATGCATTACCAAAATTGTTTGGAATAACGTACTTAATGATACACAAGGACTTTCAAGTAAACTTGTAATAAAACAGTAATAATATGTAATAATATGTTAATTTTTATGAATAGCACCCCCCCCCCAGTGGCCAAATCTTTTGAAACTTGGTTGGTTGTTAGAAAGTGGCTATATGTAGAGATCCTTTAAGTTTCATGATGATTGGTCAATGTTAAGCCTGTCAAAAGCCTGCTAAATGCTGATTGGCCGATGGTAACCATATACTTAAATGAATCAAACTGTCCTTATGGATTCACTTATAGTCTGGCCAACAGATGGTATCTGCAAAGTTTCAACTTGATCGGATGTACGGATGCTGAGGAACAGCCATGTAGCATTAACTCCGCCCCCTAATTACTTATGCGCACAAAAATCAAACGGCTACCTCAGAATGGGGTATTAACATGGCCTGTGAAGTTTGAATTTTTTTGGCTGAAGGATTCTTGAGTTACAGATTTTTCAATTAGTTCTGAATTATTTAGAATTTATCCAGAAGGGTTCATTTGCATATGGCAGCCATGTTGTTTAGAAAAGTCAAAATGTTTTTGATAATTATTGACCGTCAGGCTCTTCTGAATTTTTTGACACCAACTACATGGGGATCGGGCAAAAATTGTAGGACTAGTTCGCAAAAGTAGGTTTCGCATATTATGCAAATTAGCTCAAAATCTAAGTGGGCGGAGCTAAATGGTCCCAATGGCAAAGTTTTGTTTGGACCCAAGGAACCAGGAAAAAAATATGTCTTGTCTAGGAACAATCTTTTTTAGGAGATATAGGCCAAAACGCGTTGACCTGTGCAATAGCGCCACCTTGTGGCCGACTGGGCTGATTCCTTGCGCCTGAGTAGCGGGAGGGACTACTACCTATTGACCAAGTTTCAAGTCTCTAGGACTTACGGTTTGGGCTGTGCGTTCCGTTTCAGGGCGGAAAAATAATAAGAAAAATCTTGACAATTCCAATAGGGTTCTACGCACTGCATGCTTGAACCCTAATAAGAAAAATCTTGACAATTCCAATAGGGTTCTACTCACTGCGTGCTTGAACCCTAAAATCCCTGATAATTCCAATAGGGTTCAATGCATTGCATGCTTGAACCCTAACAAGAAAAACTAACAATAACAATAGGGTCCTATGCCCTGCCTGCTTGGACCCTAAAAATCCTAGCAAAAGCAATAGGATTCCGTGCACCTAAAGGTGCTTGGACCCCTAAAAAGTTTAAACGCACAACTAGGTCAGTACTTAGTAACACCTGCTTTGTCACATTTCAGCTTGCAAATGTAGCTAGATATATCTTTCCACTCCTGTTTAATGAATTTTCAGCCTTTCTTGCAAAATGCTTCTATATTTCCAGAATTCACATTTGCTTCCAGAATTCCATTCTTTCATTTATCCCTGCAATAATTTCTGTGCCACTGGCTGCCAGACAATCCAAAAGCATAACAGATCCACCCTTGTACTAAACATTGGCATGTTATTTTCATCAAATGCTACTATGCAATGCTGTTTGCACAAAAACTCCATGGGAGACATCAGAAAGAAACCTTATCTGTGACCTCATCACAAAACTCAACATCTTTAGTATGCAAAACATAATATATAACATAAATAAGCTAGAGGCATTTTCGAACCAAGTTGTGGACTGATGAAGTAAAAATGGAACACTTTTGGAGCAATCGCCAAAAGAATGTTTGGAAGAAAAAAAGGTTGTAGAATGTTGGACTTCCACTCTTGTGTCAGCTAAACCTTCCTGCAGGTCGTCTCCTGTCATATAGGGGTTTGCCAGGCCTTTTCAGCCAGCACTCAACTGTATGTCAGATAAAGTCTCTCACAAAACAGAGAACTAATAAACTGAAAACTAAGCTTAGGAAATAAAGTTTATCGTCTGCGGACATTATTAATTTATTAAGCAGTAAAATAAAAGCTAGCCACCTTGCTTATCTAGCTGGTGTTAGCTAGCTAGACAAAATGTCAGTCTAATACCGTAATTCTCACAAAGTTACCTAGCTAATCCATGTCAAATTACATAATGATATTGCCCTTTGATTTAACAAGTACGCACTAAGTAATTTTTCATTTGTTTATAATAATCATATTATTATTAATAACACCATGCTTATAATAAAGCATTTTTGAAGTGCCAGTAAAAAAATATACTATGCATACTAAAAAAATACTTACTCAAAAGGGCACACAAAATACTTTTTATAAATGTAATTTTAGAAATGATGAGGGTAATTCACACACACATGCAGAGAGAAAACATTTCTATTAACTGTTAACATACTGCAAGAAATAAATATTCCCACATATCCTAGGATTTTAACATTCAGCGGGTCAAAAGTATCACAAGGCAATGACTAAGTTATGCAAGTTAACCATGCTACATAATAGTATTTTGGAAATTAAATCTTTGATCCTCAATATCTCAAAACAGCACAGAACACAGACAGTCTTAGAATTTTACGCCGATGACCAAAATTTTAGACCTAGGTTCCTGGTATTTAAGCCTTGTCTTAGTTAAAATAAATAAATAAATAAATAAAATTTAGATGTCAAAAATCACTGTACAAGTCAGTCTAAGATCAGGATTCATGTGTGTCAGGAAACTAGCCCTCAGTGTTTGTGAGTGGCATGGCTTGTTTGTATAATACTATTGCAACTAGCGGTGAACAATTATTTGATCTGTTAAGTTCTTTTGAGTAAAAAAGCTCAGAACTTACATCATACTGTTGAGGGTAAGTCCGGGAGAAAGGCAACGGTCGTACTACTACCCACTTTTTCTTCTCAAATGATTTTACTAACAGCACCCGGCGCTCTTTCGTCCAGCTGAAAGTAATGTGGATTATCAATAAAATGGAAAAAATGGTTAATTTAGCATACATATGTTGTGTGAGCAAAAATTTCACAGATTTTTTTCAGCGGTTAAATGTTACTGGCTGTAACATTTAACATCCTTTAAATTTAGGCATTTTAATATAATACTGATGTGTGCACCACAATAGACCAACTCAGAAATGTTCGTAACATAAAGGCTGGCTCTTTCCATGTGGATAACTTGCATCCACTTAGAGGGGGAAGTGGATCATTTTAAATATGAACAGAACAGACTGAACCAAAACAGTGGTATTAAAGCTAAAAGTCTTGTGTTTGAGGCTGTAAAGTCAAACCTTCAAAAGCAGGTGCTCTGCCATAAATATTAGCTTTACCTTCAGCTTGGTGCTAACATACAATATTTTTAAAGTTTGTAATCACTTGTCATATTACTTGTCGTAACAGTCAGTGTACACAGAAATATAAACTAAACACCAGAATGCATTTTAAGTTGTTTTCTTCAGCATTTCAAGTTTTCTGGGGAAATATCAATCAGTTACTGAGTGATAAATTTACTAATTGTCTATTTATAAATATCTATTTATAATTCCCTGATCACTACTTTTTCAAATATGAGGCATTCTGAATAAAAGTTTATTTTAACTTTATTCTCAATGTTATTTAGGTTTTCAATCATTTTGGAATCATCTATAGCTCAGGTTAATCATTCTGGACACATTCAGCATTCCTTCATTTTTACTGCTTCTTACAAATTGTAGTAGCATTATATTAGCATCATGTTTGACTTGTATGTGCAACCAAATAATTACAAGAAAATAGCAATTCTCATAGAGGTCCTAACAAAACTTTCGCACTGCAGATAAATAAAGGCTACTTAAAGTAAAGGTTTGTTCAACTCAACGAATGTGTCTAGAGCTAGTTTATGATTATACGGTATAAAAACAACCATACGTAGTTCTTTTATAAAGTTATCAATATTTTTTGCTTTTTGTGATCTAGACTCTTCAGTACTTCAAATGTGATGAGACGACAAACTGCATGGGGAGAAAAGACCAGGAAATTCCATGCTCATCACAGCACTTATTTGCCATGGCCTGGAAAACTAAATTTCTATATTCCATGACCTTTCCAGTATTTTCATGACTGTATGAACCATGTCTTCGAAATCTGAAAAAAGTATGTTGATTACGTACCTGGGTACATTACAGCCTCGAACACAACAAGATTATACCATTATTGTCAATATTCTGTCTGTTCTGTTTGTATTTACTGTAAATTGTACTGTAAATTGACCATACTGGATCTACCTGGAAGTACAGCCAACCTTTACATTTAAACATTCTGATTTAGTCTTTAGGACTTCTTGCCAACATTCTGTAAAGTTTGCATAGGTCAATTCTGATTTGTCTCCACAGGGGAATTTACCCCTAAATACCATCTCAGCTCCACTGATGAGATGACTGGCATTAGGACTAAGTCTCCACAGGGAACGTAAGACATGAGTTGTGCAACATGAACATAATATATCCAATTAAAAATTCGCAAGCAAGCAAAACCACCCTCGCACAAGGAAAAAAAAGGATTTTTTTTGCATGCGAGGAAAACCTCCTGTGCACGCCAAGAGATCTACTAGCACGACAAAACTACACTCACACATGTAAAGACAACTACTCGTACCAGAAAATATGCATAAGAAGCAGCCAATAAGTAGCCAGTTTCAGCCCGGTTGCATTTACCTGAAAGAGGAGGAGTTCCTAAAATAATATAACTTTGTTTCAGACTGGCTGAAAGAGATTAATCATGATGAAGCATTGTGGCGAAGTTGTCTTCTAGAGTGGAAGTCCTTTTCCCGGTGTTTTATATGCAGCGAAAGCTCTGACAACCACTGACAGCCGGCCAATCACAACACAGTTCCAGAAATCAATAGTAACCAATGATATATTGACACTCACCCACAGCTGTCAAAAATGGATAAACTCTTGCGTGAGCAGAAGCTCAATAACAAGCAGAAAGAACAGCCGAGTGTCAGGTTAATTTTCCTCGTGCGCAAATGGTTCTGCTTCCGTGCAAGTAACTCTGCATGTGCATGCGAGGGTGGTTTTGCTCATTTGCAAATTTTGAACTGAATTTGACGCCATAATAATGTCAAAACTTTCAGTGCTGCAGTAGTCTAACCTGTGTTTGGCTTTGGCAGTGCAGTACTTCAGTGCCTTGTCCGGCTCATTGACTTGGCCTTCCCTCCAACACTGACCACACACAAACTTCATCTTCAGGTTGAGCCCTCGGGCTCGCCCACAGCTGCCTCCTCCTGAGCCTCCACCTCCAATGCTGTCGCCGCCTCCACCAGCCATTCCACCACTCCCTACACCAGTATTGCTTACAGCATTGCTGTTGCTACTGGTCTGATGAGGCACATGCATAGGCTGGGAAAGGGACAACAGGCATGGTTTAATTAAAAATAAATAAATAAATAAATAAATAAAAAAATATGCAGGATTTACAAATGTAAAAGCATCTTAAAACCAACAGAATAAAGGCAGGTTTGGTGAAGACTGACACATAGAAGACTCATAGCACTGTTAAGACTTTGAGAGTCTCACCTTCTGTCGTTGAGCATTCTGCTCCAGTCTTTGCCAGTGTCTCTTCGACTCCTGTACCATCTCCTCATGTGTGATACCTAACCACAAGAGATGTGGAGATTCCACCAATTATGTACATTCAAAATTTCTTGTTGCATTGTGGTTGTATTTTCTTAGATCAATTTACATACAATGAATTTACGATATGTAGAAATAGATGTCTGTAATAGGCATTTCAATTAGACATTTAGATTTGCATTCAAGTGAAAAAAAGAAGGAATTACTACATTATAGACAGACTCTGTCTCCTTGGAAAGACGACCAGCTAATTGTGCTAAAAAGGAAATACTGCATTATAGATGGAATGTGCCTCTTTGGAGAGAGAACCATATTAATCAGTGGTTAAACTATGTCCTAAGAAAGATCCTACATACAAATGTTGCTTTCACCATCACAGCACAATCCATGCTCACTTGAAATACAAATATCAAAATTTTATCTGGCAAAACAAGAGATCAACAATCTGGTTAAAAACATTGATGGCAACAAGAGAGAGAAAGGAGGCCCAAGTTTACCTAGCTAGGTCTCTATTAAACAAAATTCTATACCAGGAATAACACTACGTACTCACCCATAAAAACCCCTTTTTATAAATGTGTTTGAATACTCTGTACCAACAAAAAGGCAAATGTCACATTCAAGTTAAGAAATTTGTCATCGGGTGGGTGGGGGTGGGGGCTAGCTGTGGAAAGAATCTGATTGTTAAAATGAACTTCTTTAGAAACCCACTGACAGCTTATTGTCTTAAAAAACATTTCCATCAATAAATGCTGGAGAAACTGTGGCATGATTGTATGGACGACCAGATTTGCCAAAATGAAAAACAAGTAAAATTAAAAATAAATGACTTAATATATGAAGTAGAATTGCAAAGAATGATGATAACTAAAAAAAAAGTAAATATACATAATTAATATTAAATAAAATCTTACATAATGTCTGCATTTATTTATGTCTAGCCATTTCCCCTTCTCACTAATTTGTGTATTTTTTTATTTATATGTTTATTAACATTTTTTCTATTCATTTATTTCCGTAACTATTAACTTCCATATTTATTTATTTCTGTATTTCCTTGTCCTTATGCTAATAAAGGGGCTGTCAGTCAATGATGTCATAGCGTCTTAATATTCCTATTGGATGAGAATTGGATATAGAATTCAGAACCATTAGCCAACTGTGTTTGCACACAGAGGAATTAGACCTCCGCATTTAACCCATTCATGCAATGAAACACCCACATACATACATGCACTCTAGTGAACACACACACACACACACACACACACACACACACACTATGGGGCAGTGAGCACATTAGCCCGGAGCGGTGGGCAGCCCTATCCACGGCACCTGGGGAGCAGCTGGGAGTTAGATGCCTTGCTCAAGGGCACCTCAGTCACGTACTGTCAGCTAAGGGGGTTGAACCCGGCAACCTTCCGGTCACAAGGCTGGTTCAGATCACAACCAGACATTTGGACGCCCTTCTCACATACTGCCTGTGGAAGCCATCGAAAGTTATTTATCGGTAGGTTTGTCTTTCCGTGGCACTGCAGCTCTTTACGGAATTGGTGAAAGAACAGTTTAAATCAACTCTTCTTCTCCTGGTCTTGATTGCTAAGCCTAAACGTGAAAAACGCCCGTTATTATCATATGAACGAAGAACTACAGAAATAAATAAATGAATTAATGAAAAAAATAATTAATAAAAAAATAAATAAATGAATACATGAATCAATGAATTCATGTATCAATGAATTGTTAAAAATATAGATACGGAAAAAATATATAAAAACAGCATTAATAAAACGAATACAGAAATGAATAAATTGAGAAATATATAACTGCAGAAAAAGGAAATGTGTATAATTACAATCACAATTAGCAATATATACTTTAGTTTTTTTTTATTTGTTGATTAATTTACTGAGCCAATTATTTTTTAATTTTATTTTTCAATTTGGCAAATCTGGTCCTCCATATGGTTGGTGATCACACCCACACATTATGGTGACTGTCCAAAAATACAGATATTTTGGAAAAAAAGAAGAAATTGAGAAAATTCCAGAAATTGACATTCCACTGGATCCGTTATTGTTCATATTGGAAGAATTGCCTGAACACGTGATCACAACAGACTAAGACTACACACTGAAAATTCTGTTGATGGTTGCAAGAAAAATCACCAACAAGATGAAGCCTAACCCTCAAACAGCTGGTCAACTGTTACAAAAGCTCAGCTAATCAAACTGAAAAGCTATTAAAAAATAGATATGTATGTATGTTTGAGATATATATATGTATATATGTGTGTGTGTGTGTGTGTGTGTGTGTGTGTGTGTGTGTGTGTGTGTGTATATATATATATATATATATATATATATATATATACACACACACACACACACACATACATACATATACATATATATATATATATACATATATATATATATATATATATATATATATATATATATATATATACACACACACATACATACACACACACACACACACATACACACACACACAGAACGTTGGGAGGGACTTTTTAAGAGGAAGTGTTCCGAGAGGATGAGTCTAAACTTTGGCGGTACTGGAGAAGAACTAGATGTTTGCTGAATACAATACAGCAGCAGCAACCAATAAGTGACATTTGCAGGGCACAAAACAAGTAAAATTTCTGTGCCTGAAATGTGTTTGAAGGTTAGGAGAAAGAATGGAGTTAATGGGGCTTCACAAAATAAAGAAATTAATTAACAGAATATGAACGTTTATTAATAAAACTAAAACAAATTAACAATAACATAGCACAATAAACAAATTATGCAAGACGAACAATGTATGGTAATTGTATTCAAGTCCAAGTACAACTTTTAAAGCCATAGAGAATATCCAATGCACCCATCCTTCAAACTTGTTAACGCTTACTGCTTCGTTGGTCAAAAAGCAGCTTTACGGAAAAATCCAGGTCCAAGCCCCAGTGAGCAAACCAATGGTGAAAGGGGCAGGGAAAACTCCCTAAGAGAAAGAGGAAGAAGCCTTGAGAGGAACAAACACTCAAAAGGGGAACCCATCCTCCTCTAGAGGACATCAGATAGCAAAATAATAACACCAGAGCAAAATTAACAGAGAATAAGATTTTACCATTAGTACAAAATACTAAAAAAACAAAAAGAGGGAAAAGCAGGTGAATCAAAGGATATGATTAAATAAACAGCATTTAATAGATGTTGGTCTCTAAACAGCAGTAAATGTAGACATTCTATTGTCGAGCGATTATGACAATGCTATGAAAAAAACTGTTCATTTACTACAATGCTTTTTCAAAGCAGCACTTGACAGTCAGTGTAAACAAAAGTTTTTAGGTCTAACTTATTAATACAAAATACAGGGCTCTTTATGACTGTATACATACAACCCCATTTCCAAAAAAGTTGGGACACTTTGGAAAATGTAAATAAAAACCAAATGATGTGCAAGTCACTTAAATCCTATATTTCACTGAAAATGCTTCAAAGACAACATATCAAATGCTGAAAATTTTGTTTTTTGAAAAATACATGCCCATTTTGAATGTGATGCCAACAACACCTTACAAAAAAGTTGGCATGGGGGCAACAAAAGGCTGGTGAAGTTGTGTAATGCTAAATAAAAACACCTGGTGGTTAATTGGCAACAGGTCAATGACATGATTGGGTATAAAATGAGGATCCCAGATACGCCGAGTCTTTCAGAAGTAAAGATGCAGAGGGGTTCACCACTCTGTGAAAGACTGCATGATCAATAGTGCAACAATTCAAGAATAACTTTTCTCAACATAAAATAGCAAAGAACTTTTGCTTTCCATCATCTGCGGTACATAACATTACAAGATTCAGAGAATCTGGAGAAATCTCTATATGCAAAGGACAAAGCCAAAACCAGTATTTGCTGGCCATGATCTTTGGGCTCTCAGGCAGCACTGCATTAAAAACAAACATGATTCTTCAGAGGAAATCACTGCATGGGCTCAGAAAAACTTCTGAAAAACAGTCTATGAAACCAGTTTGGCACTGCAATTAAAACTCTTAAACGCAAAGAAGAAACCATATATAAACAGGATCCCGAAACGCTGCCACCTTCTCTGGGCCCAAGCTCATTTAAAATGGACCGAGGGGAAGCGAAAGCGTTCTGTGGCCCGACAAATCATTTCAACATTTTGAAACATCTGAATTACTTTTTGGAAATCATGAAAACCGTGTCCTCCAGGCTAAAGACCACTCAGCTTATCAATGCCCAGTTTAAAAGCCAGTATTTATGATGGTATAGGGGTGCATTCGTGCATATGGCATGGGTGACTGGCTCATCTGTGAAGGCACCATTAATGCTGAACGATAAATACGTTTTGGCAACATATACGGCCATCCAGATGACGTATATTACAGGGAAGGCCTTGCTTATTTCAGCAAGACAATGCCAAACCACATTCTGCATGTATTACAACAGTATGGCTCGGTATTACAAGAGTCCAGGTGCTAAATTGGCCTGCCTGCAGTCCAGACCTTTCACCACTGAAAACATCTGGAGGGTTTTGAAATGAAAAATGACAAATGAGCACCCGCACTGATAAGCAGTTGAAACCCTATGTTAAGCAAAAATGGGAAAACATTTCACTTTCAAAACTACAGCATATGGTCTCCTCAGTTCCCAAACTCTTACAGGGTGTTGTTAAAAATAGAGGTGATGAAACACAATGGTAAATATGCCCCCGTCCCAACTTCTCTGGAACGTGTTCTTGGCATCAAATTCAAAAAACAATAAAATTTCTCTGTTTCAACATTTGATATGTTGTCTTCGTACTATTTTTAATGAAATACAGGGTTTAAGTGAATTGCACATTAATGAATTTTGATTTAATTTACATTTTACAAATATTACAATTCAGTAATATTTCAACAATATTTGTGCCATGTGAAATATCTTCCCTCTGACTCACTTTTCTCTCCAACTGCTGTTTCACCTCGTCCCTCCCCTGTGTGTGCGTCTCTCATTCGAGTCGCAGTGCTCATCATAATGCATAGATCTGATTGGCTGAATAGGGTCACGTGTGATATTTACAATGCATACGATTGGTTTGTGAGTTTCCCGGGCCGCTAAACCGGTACCGTAATGACTAGAAATGTTACGGCAATTAATATAGGACCACCCTGTTGAAATTAAATAATTCTCCATAGTTTATCCGTTACAGGCCTAGGTCCGCATAGGACAGCGTCTGGGTCCAGACTCGGACCGCGGTCCGCCTATTAGTACCTACCTCTGGTTTAGACTCATCACTTCCTCTTAAAACATGCACCACACTCAGAAGTCCTCCGTGATGTCCCACCCACAGTGTCTAACAGGCGTGCCATGTTAACAGTGAAAATGAAATCGCAAACAGGATTGTAACTGCATTTTCATTTTGGCAGAGCAGAAGCGTGACGATGAGAAAACACAACCGCAAATGTTTTTCCTTTTTTAATATGTGAGAAATAGACCATTAAGGCAATGAAAATTAAATGCCCAAAGCACTGTGGTTTTCCCCTACACACTATATGAACAAAAGTACTGGGACACATACAGGAGGTTTTATGACATTCGCCAAACCCAGACTTGTCCATCAGACTGCCAGATAGAGAAGCATGATTCGTCACTTGACAGAATACATTTCCACAGTGTGGCTGAGAACACACACACACACACACACACACACACACACACACACACACACATTTTGGCACTGCGGACTGTTAGAGAACCTATGCAATTATATAATTGCATACCTGTGTCCTGCTGTAGCACCCAGCACTTGAGCTCAATTACTGAGTGAGCAAAAGAACAGCTGTCTTCTCTCTGGCAGCCATAGCGCACCTCGTGGCGACATACATCAAACTGGCACAAAGGGTGTAGCGGTCTAATCTTACTGTAGCGCACGTTGGCTGAGCGGACCACATGCACCAGGCACCTGCCAGAGAGAGTCACACAAATGCGCGCACACACACCATATGAAGTGGGGAGAAAACATGATTAGTTCAACTGTGACGCAAATCAAAGATCTAACAAAAAAAATTCCAAACTCCAATTCTTACATAAATAAGTAGCTGAGGCAAAACATTGTCTCAGTAATCATCTATCTGCCCATTCTGCTTATCATTGTATTTCATACTTTTATAAAGTAAAATCATATCTACAAGAAAGTATTTATAGTACAACCTGTGCTACCCCAGGCTCAAGGAGGTTGCTGGAGGCAGGGTTCACTGTTGCAGGAGCCATTTAGTCTTTAATTTTACACCAGACACCACAAACAAAACCACAACCAAAGCTGGCCACTTTTCAGTGGCTTCAAATAAGACTTTTCAGTCCTATTTCTCCAAAACCAGATTTTTCAGTCCTTTTCTCTAAACTGAGCTTTTTAGCTCTTCAACCTGCTGTTGCTACTGCTCGTCTCTCTGTTCCCTCTCTGCTCTTTTTAAAAGGCCAGCCAGATCAGTATCAGCTGGCTCTCATTGAGCACCTGAGCTAAAAGGGAACAAGAGCTCGTGGTCCACCTCCCCATCATCGCCCCCACTAGTCAGCTTGGCCACCCGGGTCGAATGTAAGGCAAGTTAAAGAGGCCTCACCGCGGACGGACCGGAGGCGGGGTTTAGAACTCGTGCGCTGTCCCCCCCACTCACTCGCTGTTCTCTCCCCGCTGTCCTCGCTCAGAGTCCGGGCCCGGCCTTCTAGACGGCTGTCACAGCCATCATCTTAAGAAGGTGAAGAGTTGGATAGGCTTTGTAGTGGCAAAAAATGGGAACTACCAGCTGTCTTGGAATTACCTGCATTTATCTGTAAAGTTGTCTTTAAAATATGATCAGGTGTTCTAAAAACAGTATGTTAAAGAAAAGTCAGGCAACAGACCTCAAAGAGAGACCCAAAAAACAAAATGAATACTGAGGCATGTACCTGTCCCCCAACAGGTGCATGCCTCAGTATTCATTTTGTTTCCAAGGCAGCAGGTAGTTCCCATTTTTTGCCACTACAAAGCCTATCCAACTCTTCACCTTCTTAAGAGCCACTGAGACACCATCCAGGCTACTTCAAGATTACTTGGACCTTGGACAAGACCAACAGTGACTGTTGGGATGCACATCACAGAATCAGGTGAACTTTCGTGATTAGGTTAAACTCCAGTTTCTCTTAAGAGTTAACCTTCGTTTTATAGGTAAAGTGTTGTAAAAATTTTTCACAACTAATTTCTTCTATTTTTGCTAATGAGTAAAACACAAAATGCAGCTTTTAAATGATTATTCTATTTATTGAACATTGAACTGTATTACCCATTTGAAAAAGTAACTGGCCCCTAAACCTAACAACTGGCACCCTTTGCAGTAACAACTGCAATCGCATGTTTGCGATAACTTGCGATGAGTTTTTTGGTGTGGAGGAATTTTGGCCCACTCTTTTTTGCAGAATTGTTTTAATTCGGCTACATTGGATGGTTTTTGAGCTCGAACTGCCCGTTTAAGGTCTCTCCACAGCATCTCAATGGGATTCAAGTCAGGACTTTGATTCTACCACTTCAAAACTGTAATTTTGTTTCTTTTGAGCCATTCAGAGGAGGACTTGCTTGTGTGATTTATATCACTGTACTACACAACTGCGCTTGAGCTTTAAATCACAAACTGATGGGCAGCCATTCTACTTCAGGATTTTCTGATAGAGCGCAGAATTAATGGTTCCATCAATTACGACAAGTCATCCAGGTCCTGCAGAAGCAAAGCAAGCCCAGACCAACACACTACCACAATCATGTTTGACTTTTGGTATGACGTTCTTATGCTGGAATGCGGTGTAAGCTTTACGCCAGATGTACCAGGACCCATGTCTTCCAAAAAGTTTCATCTTTAACACATCAGTCCACAGAATATTATCCCAGAAGTCTTTGGGGTAATCTAGATGTTTTTTTGGCAAATGTGAGACAAGCCTGTGTTCTTTTTGGTCAGCAGTAGTTTGCGACTCTCCCATGGATGCCATTTGAGTCTCTCATTGTGGTATTTTGACCTTAACTGAGGCAAGTGAGGCCTGCAGATCTTTAGATGTTCATCTGAGTTCTTCTGTGACCTCCTGGATGTTCGTCGATGCACTCTTGGTGAAATTTTGGGAGGCCGGCCACTCCCGGGGAGGCTTACCACTGTCCCAAGTTTTATCCATTTGTCGACAATGGCTCAGATTGAGGTTCGCTGGAGGTTCAAGGACCATTTTGCATTTGTATCGGAAACTCTTTAGAACGTGTTATCATGTGCTGCCTTTTGAGACCTTCTGACCTGCTTTACGTTGCCAGACAGGTTCTATTTAAGTGAGGTTTAGATTCAACAGGTCTGGCAGAAATCATGGCTGGGTGTGGCTAGTAAAACTGAACCCAATAGTCAACTGAATTTGGTTGACTGATTTAGCAGGTAAGGGAGCAATTACATTTTTACATAAAGCCAAGTACTGCTGAACAGCATTTTTCCTTCAATAAATGAAATCATTAATCATTTTGTGTGTGCTGGGGTTATCTTTGTCTATTATTAAAAGCAGTCTGATGATCTGAAACATTTAAGCGTGACAAATACATGAAAAATAGAAAAGACTGGGAAGGGATCAAATACTTTCACAGCACTGACCAATCCAAGTCACGATCATAGCTTCACTCCAACTATAATTTTAAAAATTGCAAATACGTTTTGTTTAATTCACCCATCTTCACCTTGTGTTGGTGAAAAGCTGCAGGCACTCATTCACACACTTCCTCCTTCCTCTCTCTCAGTCATCGATCTATACATTCGATTAACCTATTCTACCAGGGAGATTCACTCGAAAGAGGTCCCAAATATTCTGTAATAACTCTCGCTAGGATGAAGCATTCCGAACTAAATAATGTACAAGGTGCTCCTCAGTATACAGAGCTTCGAACAAGCCGGGATGCCCCTGCGTCGGAGTGATGAGTAGGCGCCAGACAGCCGTTGCGACGTTTAACCTCCGTTTGCAACTTCCGGGTGCATACCCCCATACCCCTTCAGTCACTCGACTTCTCATCAGGATTGTGGTGTACAATATACAGTATGCAAGGAGCATGCAAGTATACAAGTCCTTCTTCGACTTTGGTCACCACAGTCACCGGATCTGACACCACAAGACTTCTTCCTTTGGGGTATGCTCAAAGAAAACGTCTATCAGAACAAGCCTTGCACCGTGGAAGATTTGAAGGAAAACATCCAACATGAAATTGCTGCTATTCCCCCCGATATGCTTGCTGATAGATTCAGGAACATGGAGCGCCGTGTCGAAATGTGTCTGGCAGAAAACGGAGATCACTTCCAGCATCACATGTGATGCAATCGATTACACATACGTCCAGGTATGTAGCATATTTTTTTGTTTCAGATTGCTTAATCCTAACAGGATTTACAACAGAATATTCATCTCTATTGAACTGTACGGTGCATGGCATTGTAACGTACATTTTTGAAGTGTAGCACTGAATTTAGTGGTCTAATTAAAAAACGCTGTAAGAGGCTGTTTTTTATTTTTACCATTACACTCCCAAAAATTACCTTTATGCAGAAAATAAATACCACCACGCAGTTATTTATTGATTAGTTAATTCAACTATGCTGTAGAAAATTCACTATACACAAGCAATCTCGAGAGTGTAGAGAAAAGTCAAGAAAAAAAAGTGGTAGCTTACTTGTTATCATCAAAAGGATGTCTTGCAGTAAGGTTGGAGCAGACACCTAGGTTCTCTTTGCTACGCTTGCTTATAATACGAGGTTTACTGTCAAAACACTCCTAAAGCAAAACAGGAACAAAAGCATGTGATAAATTTGTTTCAAATAACAATGTAAAATGAACATGAGAGTCAATTAAGTCATTATACCCTACCTCACAGAGGAACATGAACATGCCCATATGAAGCTGTAGAAGGCGTGTGACACTAAGAGCTCTTCTCTCGTTTGTGCCCAGAGGATCGAATAAAAGCTCTCTGCTCAGGGCTCCTTTTCTCTCCTGAGTCCACACATCTATCTCTTCCTGGCAATAGGCAAAGGTACAGTTTTCCCCGTACTGGCACTCTTGACGCTCCTGCACCTCTGCATGTAGAGAAGCAAAAGTCAGAGCGCTTAAAAAGAAAACTATATCAATCAGATTCCACTTATATCACTGAAAAGAAAAACCCAATGATCCTGGTGAAAACTCATGATTAATGACTGCTAGTAGTGTTTCCCAAGTAACTGTAGTCCTTGAATATAACTTGGTTCTAGGGGTGGGAATCTCTAGGAACCTCACAATTTGATTCGATTACTGCGATGCGATTATAAAACGATTATCGATGCATCTTGATGCCTCTTTCTTCCTATTCAGGATTTCTTTTTTCTCACTGTGTGAGGACTTGGTACTTTTAAAGCAAAGTATTTGTAATGATCCATAATGAATTTACTTCCAATAATCTTTTATTAATAAAACAAATGGAAGTGATGTGCAAGTGAACTGGAAGGCTCTCATTCACTGTTCTTGTTTGGAGCACGAGATGCTAGCTGCCACTCATCTATGATAAAATGCTCTGTTATGGTGTTCGGGTGCTACACTTCCAAGTTCCACCTTTTGTGTTCCGTCAACATTACATTACAAATTTAAATTTAGAAAATCGATTTTTGACATTTGTGAATTGATTCAGAATCGTCCACGTCCGCAACGCGATGCATCTAAGAATGAATCCACCCCCCCACCCCCACTTGGTTCCCATCCAAAACTCTGTGCATGCCGTTTACAGCAGCAAATCTTACAACACTTTTAGTTGCCACCACAAAACAACTTATGCCAACCACTAGGGGGGAAAAAAAATGATCAATTCTTGGACAGAGATTCTCTCGTGATCATAGAAGTGATTCCCTCTTGAAAAATTCTGAACTCACAAAACAAGAAATTTATAAAGTAAATTATAAAGTGGAATACTTCGGTGCAGACTGGCTTGGAAGAGGAAAGACAATGCAGGACCTCACTAAAGCACACATTTTTGCTGTCACACTCTGGTCATAAATTGTGTGTTTATGACATAAAAGGGCCAAAATCATTGTAAACATATCCTACATAATAACATGGCTTTGCACAACAGTCAATTTATGAAATGCTAACTGGTTAACAGGCTATTCAGTACTGAGTTAGGCTTAAAAACATTATTAATATAGTTAACATTAAAAGGCATGTCTATAGCCTGCATTATGATACATAGTAAAACAATGATATAGTCAACAGAAATAAAAAAAAAAAAATGGAGATGCATCAAGATGCATCGAGAATCATTTTTAGAATCAGTAACAAAAAAATTTAGAGATAGATAATATTTGAATCACAGCCATAACAGAAGACAATTGATTAAAACATTATTGCTACTGGACAGATGATTAGATTACCAATATTTCAGAATTGTATTTCATGACTATTTATTGTACTCCAAATGAGCAGAATGTTTAGGTAACACTGGGCTACTGTACTAAAATTTCAGCAATTCTTCATTTTACTCCATCTGTAATCCTACAGAAATAAAGGCTATATTTTACTGCAATGCTAATCCAGGAAGATCTAGCCTCAATTTCTACATTTAAGCAATGTGGATCAGCATTAGCTGATCGGCAGATATGTACATGAACAATAGCAAATGCTGGCATTGGCCTTGAATTCCCATACTGATGCATCCCTAAAAAAACTTTACTAGGGGAAATACTGTGCTGATGCACACAAATGCTGAGGTGTGTGTGTGTTTATATATATATATATATATCATATATATATATATATATATATATATATATATATATATATATATATATATACACACACACATACATACACGCACGCACGCATACACACAGTGGTGTGAAAAAGTGCTTGCCCCTTCCTGATTTCTTATTCTTTTGCCACACTTAAGTTTCAGATCACCAAACAAATTTAAATATTAGACAAAGATAACACAAGTAAACACAAAATGCAGTTCATAAATGAAGGTCTTTATTATTAAGGGAAAGAGAAATCCAAACCTACAGGGCCCTGTGTGAAAAAGTGATTGCCCCCCGACCCCTTAAAACATAAATTAACCTTGGTTTATCACATCTTTGGAAAGCTGAGTTCAATTTCCCTAACCACACCCAGGCCTGATTACTGCCACACCTGTTCTCAATCAAGAAATCACTTAAAAAGGACCTGTCTGACAAAGTGAAGTAGACCAAAAGATCCTCAAAAGCTAGACATCATGCTGCGATCCAAAGAAATTCAGGAACAAATGAAAAAAAGTAATTGAGATCTGTCAGTCTGGAAAAGGTTATAAAGCCATTTCTAAAGCTTTGGGACTCCAGCGAACCACAGTGAGAGCCATTATCCACAAATGGCGAAAACATGGAACAGTGGTGAATCTTCCCAGGAGTGGCCGGCCAACCAAAATTACCCCAAGAGCGCAGCGACGACTCATCCAAGAGGTCACAAAAGACCCCACAACAACATTCAAAGAACTGCAGGCCTCACTTGCCTCAGTTAAGGTCAGTGTTCATGACTCCATCATAAGAAAGAGACTGGGCAAAAATGGCCTGCATGGCAGAGTTCCAAGATGAAAACCACTGCTGAGCAAAAAGAACATAAAGGCTCGTCTCAGTTTTGCCAGAAAACATCTTGATGACCCCCAAGACTTTTGGGAGAATACTCTGTGGACTGCTGAGACAAAAGCTGAACTTTTTAGAAGGTGTATGTCCCATTACATCTGGCGTAGAAGTAACACAGCATTTCAGAAAAGGAACATCATACCAACAGTAAAATATGGTGGTGGTAGTGTGATGGTCTGGGGCTGTTTTGGAAGACTTGCTGTGGTAAATGGAACCATGAATTCTGCCGTTTACCAAAAATTCCTGAAGGAGCATGTCCAACCCTCTGTTTGTGACCTCAAGCTGAAGCGCACTTGGGTTCTGCAGCAGGACAATGATCCAAAACACACCAGCAAGTCCATCTCTGAATGGCTTAAGAAAAACAAAATTAAGACCTTGGAGCGGCCTAGTCAAAATCCTGACCTGAATCCGATTGAGATGCTGTGGCATGACCTTAAAAAGGCGGTTCTTGCTCGGAAACCCTCCAATGTGACAATTACAACAATTCTGCAAAGATGAGTGGGCCAAAATTCCTCCACAGCGCTGTAAAAGACTCACTACCAGTTATCTCAAACGTTTGATTGCAGTTGTTGCTGCTAAGGGTGGCCCAACCAGTTATTAGGTTTAGGGGGCAATCACTTTTTCACACAGGGCCCTGTAGGTTTGGATTTCTCTTTCCCTTAATAATAAAGACCTTCATTTATAAACTGCATTTTGTGTTTACTTGTGTTATCTTTGTCTAATATTTAAATTTGTTTGGTGATCTGAAACATTTAAGTGTGGCAAAAGAATAAGAAATCAGGAAGGGGGCAAACACTTTCACACCACACACACACACACACACACACACACACATACATTATATATATATATATATATATACATATATATATATATATATATATATATATATTCATTCTTTCAAAGAAACCACGCAGACATTTCACATACCTGGCACATAATGCATAATGATAAACGAAATAAAAACCTTTGCAGAGAACGAATGCTCCTAGAAAGTTATTGCGGGCAGGGCGAGGTCTTATCCTCTTCCAAGTGGTATCGTCAGACGATTTGAGGCGACACAGCAGTACATCTCTCTTACAGCGATGAGCTGCTTCAGGTTGGTATTTATAATCCATGACCCGAGGACCTACACCAGAAAAGAGCCCATTTTGCTCTTCAAAAGCCATGCTTATAGTACATTGAATAGCCACACACCACGGACCGTACTGTTGATGTCAAAAACAGTACCTATACGGCTGTAGCAGGCATGGCAGGCCTGTCTAAACTCATGGGTGGCAGCCAGAGGGTTCCGGGACAGCAGAGAAAGGTTGGTGGCAGCTGAGCCATTCTGCTGGGTTCAAAGGTCAAATGTGGTTTCCAAACAGTTTTTGTGGGACAACATACTGCTCAGCAAAATCATTCTGAAGTTAAACTTATAAGGCTGTGAGGGAACTGAAAGGTAAAAGAAGCAAAAAAGTGCTTACTGTGTGGATGGCACTATGGTTCCGTAACCCAGGGATGAAACTAGTAGAGACTCTTCCTCCTGAAGGTGTCAAGAGGAAATAGGCATAAAGTAAGCATTACTAAAACATTATGTTCACACTATAATAGCAGTTTTGCAATTATATGAATACTTGCAGGAACCATTCTTACAGTGGAATGCAAAAGTTTGAGTACCTATGGTCAAAATTTCTGTTACTATGACTACCTAAGTGAGTAGTACCGATCTCCAAAAAGGCATAAAGATGAAACAAGATGGGTGCACGATTTTTGTTTTGTACAATTTTAGAGTGAAAAAACAAAGGAGCACCATGCAAATGTTTGGCCGCTCAGGCCTTAATTAGCTTGTCAGGGTTATGGCTTGTTCGTAATCATTGTTAGGCAAGGCCAGGCCAGGCCAAGTCAAGTCAAGTGGCTTTTATTGTCATTTCATCTATGTACAAGTGGAGTGAAATTACATTACTCCAGGAACAAGGAACAAAAGAACAAAAGTACAAAATTACCAAGTGCGAACGTGCAGACAGTGTGCAAACAAAAATTAAGCTAGAAACAATACAATATATATGATAAATTAAACAGACATTAGACACTGTAAACAGACAGGACAAAGCTGTTGCAGAGTTTGGCAGTGATGGTGCGGATGCTCCGGTACATTCTGCCAGACGGCAGCAGTGAAAAAAGTCTGTGTGAGGAATGGATGGGGTCGTTCACGATGCTGGTGGCTTTCCGGATGCAGCATGTGGTGTAGATGTCCGTGATGGAGGGGAGAGAGACCCCAATGATCTTCTCAGCTGTCCGCACTATGCGCTGTAGGGTCTTGCGGTCGGAGGCGGTGCAATTCCCAAACCAGGCGATGACACAGCTGCTCAGGATGCTCTCCACAGTCCCCCTGTAGAACATGGTGACGATGGCGGGGGGGTGAGCTTTCTTCAGTCTCTGTAAGAAGTAGAGGCGCTGCTGGGCTCTCTTGGCTATGGAGTTGGTGTTGAGGGATCAGGTGAGGTTCTCTGTGATGTGGACACCGAGGAACTGGTGCTCTGGACGATTTCCACAGCAGAGCCAGTGATGTTAAGTGGGGGGTGGTCACCTCGTACTCTTCGGAAGTCAACAACCATCTCCTTAGTTTTGTCTACATTCAGAGACAGGTTGTTGGTTCCGCACCAGTCTGTTAGCCGCTGCGCCTCCTCTCTGTACGCTGACTCATCATTCTTGCTGATCAGACCCACCACAGTCGTGTCATCAGCAAACTTGATGTGATTTGAGCTGTGCTTTGCAGTACAGTCATGAGTCAGCAGGGTAAACAGCAGCGGACTGAGCACACAGCCCTGAGGGGCGCCGGTGCTCAGTATGATGGTGCTGGAGATGTTATTACCTATCCTGACTAACTGAGGTCTCTTAGTCAGGAAATCCAGGACCCAGTTACAGAGGGAGGCGTTCAGGCCCAGCAGGCTCAGTTTTCCAATCAGCTACTGAGGGATGATGGTGTTGAATGCTGAACTGAAGTCTATGAACAGCATTCCGACATAAGTGTCTTTATTGTCCAGGTGTGTGAGAGCAAGGTGGAGTGTGGTGGAGATGGCGTCATCTAATGAGCGGTTGGGGCGATATGCAAATTGCAGTGGGTCCAGTGAAGGATGAAGCTGGTCTTTAATGTGCCTCATGACGAGGCCCTCAAAGCATTTCATGATGATTGGAGTGAACGCAATGGGACAGTAGTCATTGAGGCAGGACACTGGAGACTTCTTCGGCACAGGGATGATGATGGTGGACTTCAAGCACGTTGGAACGACTGCAGTGCTCAGAGAGATGTTGAATATGTCCGTGAGAACATCAGCCAGCTGTTCAGCGCATTCTCTGAGCACTCTGCCCGGTATGCTGTCGGATCCTGGAGCTTTTTGTGGGTTGACTCTGTAGAGATCTCCGCACATAAGCTGTGGACAGACACAGTACCTGTTCACTTGAAGGAGGTGTGGTTTTCCTCGCCGGCGTGCCGTTCTGTGCTTCAAACCAAGCATAGAAGTTGTTTAGCGCGTCTGGAAGGGAGTCATCACTGTCACAAGCAGGTGGAGGTGACTTAATTGGTGATGGCCTGGATGCCCTGCCACATGCGCCGTGTGTCAGCAGTGTTTTGAAAATGTTCATGGATTTTCTTTGAGTAGGCACGCTTAGCTTCTTTGATGGCCCGGGAAAGCTTGGCTCTTGCTATCCTGAGGCTTGCTCTGTCCCTTGACTTGAAAGCCTTGTCACAGGTTCTCAGCAGCATGCGCACCTCTGCAGTCACCCATGGTTTCTGGTTGGGGTGAGTTGTGACAAGTTTAGAGACAGTAACATTATCAATGCACTTGCTGATGTAGCCAGTCACTGATTCTGTATACTCCTCCAGATTGATGGAGTCACCGGAGGTTGCTGCTTCTCTGAACATCTCCCAGTCAGTGTGCTCAAAACAGTCCTGAAGAGCAGATATAGCTCCCGGCGGCCAGGTTCTCACTTGCTTCTGGTCTGGTTTGGCACGTCTGATGAGCGGTCTGTATGCTGGAGTGAGCATCACAGAGATGTGGAAATTTGGGGAGCACTGACTTCAGATTGGCATGGTTGAAATCTCCAGCAACAATAAATAGTCCGTCAGGGTGCGTGTTTTGCAGATTGCTGATAGCGCTGTACAGCTTGTTCAGTGCAGCGTTAACATTAGCACTGGGAGCTATTTACACCGCTACTATGTACAGCGTATAAAATGGTCTGGCTCTGACAATCGCAAACTCGACCAGCTATGAGCAGTGACTAGAGACTAGCGTCGCGTTTTTACACCATTCAGCGTTGATGTAAACACACAGTCCCCCACCTCGAGTCTTACCGCACAGCTCAGCGCCTCTGTCCACACGGAAGCACAGCAGGCCGTCAAGCTGAACGGCTAAGGAGTGGAGATCGTCGTCCATGTCTCCGTAAAAACGAAAAAACACAGCAGTCTCTGAACTCACGCTGGGTAGCCCACTGATTCCGGAGGGAGTCCAGTTTATTCTCCAAGGAACAAACATTTGATAGATGAAGCGATGGAACGGCTGGTCGTCTGGGGTTAGCCATTAGCCTAGCGCGCACCCTGCCTCGCTTGCCTCGCTTCCGCCTTCTCGTGCACTGCTTTTGGCCAGCAGGCTCACGCAGCGCCATGGATCTTAGCAGGCCTAGCTCATGCAGCTCTTCCCGCAGTTCATTTGGAAGTAGAGATTGAGGCTGATTTCTCAGCTGTAGCAGGCTCTGGTGATAGACGCTGGTGCTGGTTGACGCAGTCATGATATACAGTTTTGGTCGAGTTACACGATAGTAGACAAAAAACAGCAAAAAAGCACTGTTTTGCTGTTCCCGAAGTGGCCGCTGCAGCTACCCGCCGTGCCGCCGGAATCTCAATTGCGATGTAAATTTCAGAACTTTATAAATACTCTGACTTGTCAAACCTTGTCCCAACAATTAGCAGCCATAGGAGATGGCTACAAGAAGATATCAAAGCATTTTCAGGTAGCCGTTTCCTCAATTCATAGCATAATTAACAAGAGGCAGTTGACAGAAATGGTAAGGTCAAGCTGAGGTCTGGAAGACCAATAAAACTTTGCAAGAGAACTTCTGATAAGATTGCTAGAAAACACTCATTTGACTGCAAAAGACTTTCAGAAGATTTAACAGACTCCAGAGTGGTGGTGCACTGCTCTACTATGCAGTGACATCTGCACAAATATGACCTTCACGGAAGAGTAAATCAGAAAATCTTTCCTGCGTCGCAAAGGAACATCTAAACAAACCTGATGCATTTTGAAAATAAGTCCTACAGACTGATAAAGTTAAAATAGAATTTTTGGCCACAGTGAGCAAAGATGTATTTTAGGGTTGGGCGGTATGATGGTAATACAGTACACCACACCAGGTAAACATAATGACTATTTTAGAATAATGATATTAAATATCTATTCCACCTCTGAAAGGATAAACACATTCCTCCCAATTTAGTTTCAAAAGGCACACTAATTGGTGTTGCTAACAGAATAAGGGAGGAAATCAAAGCTAGAATTTAAAAAAAATAAAATTTGATGATAGCTCAGCCACGACACAGAGCTACACGTATCAGAACCACACAGTCTCTGCACACACCACAGAGCTTTCACTCCAACTGTTATCACTCAACTTTGCACTGTCCCTTAAACAGGTGCGCTATCCTCTAAACTGGAGTCATTTCAACATCAGCTAACAACAACTACCACCAAGCCTGTGCTGTGGTGTGGTATGCCTGGCCTTCTAACTAAGCTCTCTCCCAAAAACCACAGAACAGGTTAAATTTCGGCTTACTGTCACTCTTCTTTTGCTCTCGCAAACATTTTTTTCATCTAAATGTGTGTCAACAGCACCAATTTTCAGAATCAAACCTATACTGTGACGGGTGGCACTGTTCAGGTCTATAGCCTGCTCTCTGAGCTAACGTTAGGGTTATCAGGCTACAGATCCAAACACTACAGAACAGGTTGAATTTTGTCTTTTTGTCTCTTCAATGGTTGCTCGATCTTCAATCTCTCAGATTTAAATCTTTATTTTTATCATCATTATCTAAACCATCAGCTTACCAGCTTGCTCGATAGATGGTTTGATATTTATCGAATGGCGGCTTGACCATGTAAAGCAAACTACTGATTTTAGAATAATGCTAGACAAGACAACAAAAAGCATGACATGGCTCTCAGAGTCCCCCAATGTAAACATCATTGAAAATCTATGGACACACCTCTAAAGAGCAGAGCACGCAAAGCAGCCAAAGAATCTCACAGAACTAGAAGCCTTTTGCTTTGCAAGGATGAATGGGCCAAAATCCCCCAAACAACAAATGAAAGACTTTTTGCTAGCCAAAAAAAAACAAAAAAAAACACTTACAAGATGTGATACTTGCCAAATGGGGAGCTACTAAGTACTGACCATGTAGGGCATCCATGTCTCGGGCCCTTTTCCTTTTTTGTTGTTTTGCAATTGAAAAAGACTGAAATAATAAAAGTAATCTTGCTTAGAATGTTTAAGAAATGTGTAATTTTTAAATTGATGCCTTTTGGAAATCAGGTCATCTTTTACTCACTTAGCCAGTCACAGTAACAGAACTTTTGACCAGGGGTGCCCAAACTTTTGCATGTCATTATATCTTTATTCTATCTACAGTTGTTATTTAACACCACTCCACAGCACTGAGTTTGCTGTATGTGTGTATATGCTTCATTATTACTACAACGAATATGTATGCTTTTTGTTCTGGAAAGATGCAGTTTAAAGCCCTATCAAGCTAGATTACTTTTACCTGGGGAGGTGCAGTTATTGAGTAATTACTGACTAGATGTTATTTTAACCCAAGCATTGAATCTGCTATGTCTGTAGTTTTTACAAGTCTTCTAAGTAACAATTCTAGAATTAATTAATTTGCCAAACTTGGAAGCTCCCACAGTAATACTAGTCCTGTTTGAATCAACATCAGTAACATAATAACAAAAAGGGTTAAGAAAACACCACCTCAATTTCTTTTCTTTTTTTTTGCGACTTGGAGACAGGGCTAACAGCTAAAACAAAGACTTATTTGACCCAATTCGTTATTCAAGTTCATAACAGGACCACTGAAACCCACAACAATATGGTGTCTATTCCCTCCCATACTGCATGATTATGCAACATCATTTCAAATTGCCACTGATAATAGGTGTTACTGCACACTGAAATGAGATGTAACGTCTCCTCCCGTGTCCAGTGCTACCTTTCGTTTTTGTTTTTTTGGCACCATATTTGTCATTTAGCCAAAGCGTCTTTCACATAACGCCAGCATAAATGTCCACGCAATGATATTTCAATCCAGGCCATTTGGGGAAATTACACAAATCCTTTATCCTGTACAAATAAGCCAGTCAAATCACACAAATTACATTACTAGGCCTCCTCTGGAAAACGAATCCAACTTGAATAAGGCTTAAAAGAGCAAATTTAATATATATATATATATATATATATATATATATATATATATATATATATATATATATATATATATTTCAGTGAAAGTTTAGTATAATATTTCATGTATATTGCGGGGAAAGGACACCCACAGTTTCTTGGCTGTGCCCATGATGCAAACTACTTTATTTATTTTTTTTAATTGTTTTGGTAAACAAACTATATTAACAAACTAGCAAATAAAAGAAGTCATTGTTTTCTTTAATTAGGTTCTGCACTACATTTTGTTTGGATCAGCCTGTAAACTGAGTAAAACCTTACTTCATCACTTGTTGCCCACATTAGTTATGAGAACACCTGACATCAGAGACACATTAGTTATGGAACAGCTGACATCACAGATTACCTGGTAGTGTGTACTCAGACAGTGAGTCGAGCCCTTCTGTGCTCAGCGATTCAGTCCTGACTCTCCCCGGAGCATCTCCAGTTTCAGAACTAAATGAGATGAGAGACTCCATGGCCTGTGTGGAACTCTCACTCTGCCCCAGCACAGAGAAGGCATCCAGCTGAGTAAGGGGGCTGACCACGGAGCCAAAATAAGGGGGCGTGAGCTGGGAGGAAGAGGCTGGGAGTCCAGAGGGGTAGGGAGGACGCAATCCTACTGCTGTGTTTGGTAGGTTAGTAGGAATGGCACCCTGAACAGGGTTCTTATGACAAAAAAAAAAAAGACAGAAAACAAGAGATTAAATTTAATATATGCAGTCCCACTTTAGGTCTTCTTGACCCTTGGCTTTAAATGTTACTGATCTTTATGTATTTAGAAAAAAAATCTGTACTAGTCACAGTATATAGAATCAAAGGGCCAAAACAAGAAGTTTTTAGAAGAGTCTCTTTTTTGTCTATGGACAAAGCTGTAATTGTGAGTAATGTTAATATTCAAAAAGGGATAGAAAGTGAGCCTTTATATATGCACTCTAGCAGCAAATACTCAAATGTCTGACGTCATTCGAATTTACATCAGTTGTGAGGGCGCATCTTTAATACAGTGCAGTGTGATGTGTAATATTTAATATTCATAACTTAAAGGGGATGGTTTCTTAAACCTGGAGAAACTACTACTCTAAACATGCAAGGGAAAATTTATTTCTTATGCTTTACATTTGAGCATATGGACCACAGAGTTCAGAAGAAAGTGCAACTTCTGTTGAGACAGCAGGAATCTAACAGAATGTAAAAATTAATCTTGGTATTTTCCAATAATTCTATTAACTCTTTAGTTTATGCTGTGAACCAGATACACTTGAAGATCTGCCAGTTATACATCATAACGCTTAATACAAAAACCTTGAAAGTTACTTAATAAACCCCAATGCATTGCCGATTAGCCACCAGCATAGCGCTAAATACCAATAGCATTCCTAAGGGAATGGTGTTAGCACCAAGGTAGCAGTGCAGTATAATCAATTTTGATAACACAGAGGTTGTAACAGGCATAAAATTAGCATTGTGTTTTATATGCAGTTTTACTGTGACTATTTTGGAAAGGTCTGAATCTGAAGCCTGTTTCTCAATATTCACTCAAGCCCGTTAGCCTATTGGTTACCTGCTGGCTCATCAAGTTAATGCAAAATGTAATTCAGTGGAGAAAATGAAGCGCAAACCAGTTAAAGGGAGTCTGCAACAGCAACTGATACTTTTCAGCTTTTTTGGCACCTTTAGCAATCATGTCTCCAGCATTTCAGCAGAGAATACTGCTTATTTTCTTCACTACTTACCAAATATTCTTGGCAATTTTTTTAATCATTCAAATTTGGCAAATAACATTTATGTCTGCTTTACACACATGTGCCAGTTACCCATTAGGACATGACATGACAGACCCTAGCTTTTGAACTTAACAATAGTAGCAATTTGGGTGGTCCTTTTCTTCTCTGGCTGGGAGAACATGACATCCATTATTTCCATAAACTGAAAAACTGACTAGTCAGACATTTCCATGGTCTATCAGTTAATTTCAAACGAGCTTAAGCCCAGCTAAGTTGACTGCATTTCTAGACGGTGTTAACATATGGCTTCTGCTGTAAATAGTCTTAACTTGCACTGAATGCAGCAAACAGTGTTTACTGACAACTAACTATCAAAGTATTCCTGAGTACCTGCAGTAATATTCATCACAGAAGCATGCCAGTTTTTGATGCAATGCCAAAGTCATGGGCATTAACTTTTAGTTGTTGTCTTCCCATTTACACACATCTTTCTAGATTCCTTGAATCATCTGATGATGATATGCACTGCACAAAGGCAAACACATAGAAGTGAAATATACTGGTTACAATGAGATTTACACCAAGATGCTGTCTTGTAGACCAGGGGTTCTCAAAATTTCCACCGCAGGATCCACCCGTTTGTATCTGTAAAGCATAATGGCCCACCAAAACAAACAAACACAACCTAAAATGAACTTATAGTTCTTCTTAATTACTCACACTGAAAACCTGTGAATTAGCGCCTGAAAAGATCAGATCGTCAGAAAACAAGAAAAAGAAAAAAGGAGATGTAGATGTGGACTGTGATTTGGAGCTGCAGTCCATCGCGTTTTCACTGCAAAAACTCTTGTGGCTCCCAGAGGAGTAACTGTTAGGTCTGGAATCTCTCTATTTTGATGGTTTTAGCACCTCATTTGAAGTAAACCACACTCCACTCAGTGGGCCTTTGAATTAGCGTCGTCACAATCAACAATAATAATGATCCTTACATGATATACACTGATCAGGCATAACATTTTGATCACCTCCTTGTTTCTATGCTCATTGTCCATTTTATCAGCTCCACTTACTATATAGGTGCACTTTGTAGTTCTACACTTACAGACTGCAGTCCGTCTGTTTCTCTGCATACTTTGTTAGCCCCCTTTTACCCTGTTCTTCAGTGGTCAGGACCTCCATGGACCCCCACAGAGCAGGTACTATTTGGGTGGTGGATCATTCTCAGCACTGCAGTAACACTGATGTGGTGGTGGTGTGTTAGCGTGTGTTGCGCTGGTCTGAGTGGATCAGACACAGCAGTGCTGCTGGAGTTTTTAAACACCTCAGTGTCACTGCTGGACTGAGAATAGTCCACCAACCAAAAATATCCAGCCAACAGCGTCCTGTGGGCAACGTCCTGTGACCACTGATGAAGGACTAGAGGATGACGAACATAAACTGTGCAGCAGCAGATGAGCTATCGTCTCTGACTTTACATCGACATGGTGGACTGACAAGGTAGGAGTGTCTAATAAAGTGGACAGTGAGTGGACACAGTCTTTAAAAACTCCAGCAGCACTGCTGTGTCTGATCCACTCAGACCAGCGAAAAAAAAAGTTTGATAGATCGCAACGAACAAGGCAAGAGAAACACCCTAAGGAACCTCTCCATCTCTGGCCAACTCCGCACTGTGTGCCCGCGGAGTATTCACCCTTCCTTGCTTTTCCCTTGTGCCAAGTAATAAGTATGATCCTCCATTTCTGAAAATTTGAGTTCTCCAACTTCTCATAGCACAAAATGCTCAGCCAGCACCTGCAACAACCACTGATTATTCTTTCTTCCAACTCATGCTTTACTCATTCCAAATTCAAGCAGCTTCAATGTAAAAACGAGAAAGGCAGTGTTTGGTTTGTCGGTTCTGGGCTAGTAGTATCTTACCCGCAAACGGCAAGCGTGGCTGCAGGTTTTCACTGCAACAAAACAGGAGCTGATTTGATCAGCTGTTTGAAGACTGAGACTGGCTGACTGAAAGAGTGAAATGAGTTGTGCTTTGCTTGTTTGGAACCAAACCTGCACTCACAATGGCTGTTTGCGGACAAGATTGGACACTCCTGTTATACGAAAACACTGTTTTGTGCTATACATTCCATTTCTGCTAACAGATCTCCCTAAATCTTACACTCCGCATGTTTAACACTGCCAAGTCATCACTCAACTTGGTGCATGTCCCACAGAAACCAAATCTTGGTCCTCAAGGTATTTCCAACAACTGTCCAATCTCCATGCCTTTTTCTGTCCAAGATTTTAAAGAAAATTGTTGCCCAGTAACTGTTCTTTCTTAAGAAGGAATATTAAGCATGGTTTGTTCCAGTGAGGCTTCAAGAAATATTACAGCACAAAATAAAAACTAGCAGTGCTTAATGATCTGCATCTGTCTTCGGATTGTGGCTATGTTTCTGTCTTGGTGCTGTTGTATTTGAGTGTAGCATTTGACACTATTGATCATAATATTTTAGTTGATAGGCTTAAAGTTTTTACCTGATTTAATTTCTGAAATTATAATGATCATATCTGAAAGACTGTTACCAATTTTATGAGCATCAATGAAGAGTTTTTAGAGCCTAAAAAGAGCGCATTATGGTGTCCGGCAAGATTCCCCTGGGACATATAATCCACCAACAACTCCTTTCATTTTTACACTGATCATATACATACTTTTCAGTTCATCCACAACAAGAAACGCTGTGTTTAAGACACTAAAGCTTATGGTACTATGTCTGCTTGAGAGGGTATTTTACTTCCCCTTAGAGCTTGTTGTTATCACTTGATTTCTATATAAACATTTCTAAAACAGCAATTTATCATCTGGGAAACATAGCAAATGTCTTGTTTTTGCTATCTCTACATGATGTTAAAAACTTTTACATGCTCAGTACATACAGGACATCAAACATCTAAAATAACTTTTCTACACCACTTGCAACGCAATTATTGTTGTTCTAGAAAATGCACAAAAGTGATGCTTCAGCTGCCTGAAAATACTTCAGGCTAGTAAAAAAAAAAATGTGCAAATTTGATTTTTGGCTAAACCATCATTTTATATATGTCCTATATTATTCTGTATACATGTAAAAGACATTATCTTTTCTCATACTTTTGATCCGTTTTTTACTCTCCATACGCAAAAAACATTACACAGGGAAAAAAAAGAACACGAAAACATACGAAAGCAGAGTTTATCACTTCGTCCTACAGCCCTCCTGCACTGTTTTCCATTTCACTCACCACGCTGACCTCAGCTCCTTTGGGAATGTTTTCCAGCAGGCTGTCCAAATCTTCATTTATCACACATTCACCCATATGCTCAGACACAGGCACAGAATATTGTACCCGCCCTGTGGGTACTTGGTTTGGGCTCTCTGGTGTATCCTGGGGTTCTACTGGACTCAGAGATGGCATCGGTGGATCATCACTGACTGGGATTGGAGTGGCCAAAGGTGCAGGAATGCACTGGGCATTCGACAAGTCTGTGAGAGACCATAAAGTCAGAAAAGTTGGGGGATGGGGACTTAGTAAACACAATTACTTAAAAATGCCAAATAAGCATCATCCCCAAATGTCAAAGTAGCAGTTAACTATACATATTTGGGTATTTTAAAAAGTAGCAGTACCTGACCCAATATCTGTCAAAGACTCAAGCCCATTTGATGATGTCTAAAAAAAGAAGTAACAAATGAAAAGCTGGACCACTGATGTTATTCAGAACGAATATGAGTCTCATTATTCCAACAGACCACCAGAAGCCAATACTTACATCCCCTGTAGAAGAAGCGGTTTCTCCATTACTGTCTGGTTGAGATGCCATAGAGTCATCCTGGACACACATAAAAAAACCCTCAACGCAAATACAGGGCATACATTTGTTACTGTTTCTCTATAATTTTGCCAGAACTTTAAAGTTGAAAGAGTTCAGATGACACACCTGTGTGCTGATATAGGCTTTACGGAGTTTCAAGCCAAGTTTCATGGCCAGATCCTGAGCCAGTTCGCTGACTTGTCTGTCCTGTAAAGAAAAAAAGAAAGAAACAAACAAACACCAACTTAATATCATGACATAGTATTTAAAAATACTTAGATTTACAGCTCAGATTTATTTTTAATGTGAAAGACATTCCAAATATAATTTTTAAATAGCATTCACACCGCAGCGATGCGACAAAACAGCCAGAGGTCATTCATTTTCAATGAGAGCTTGCGATTTCCGGCGGCAGGAGGCGGCGCGAACATTGGCAATGCGAAGTGGGCGGAGTCAGCAACACAACAAAGTTGAGCGGAGTTTAACTTTATGCAAATAAGGAGTGAAGTGATGTGGTGATTACCAATAGGAATTAAGCATTGAGCGTAGTACGTGCTGCATCTCTGCCCCTGTGAAATGGTACGCTCCTTTCTTGGTTCCTAGATAATTGTTCCTACTAGAAATGCTTTCGCCGCAAACAGACAGTAATTGCAAAGACCACATAGCGTTTTCCTCACAAACTGACTGCACAGACATGGAGATTAAATAAAAATAAGCACACAAGCGATTTCCCATCAGGATTTTTACTTTTAGCAGGAATGTATCTGATTTCTGCTTGGCGTCAGTGAAACCATAGCAAACAATGGTCCACTCGAGTTCAGAAACATCCACAGGCGATGAGCGATCAGCGATTTGGGCAACACGAGGCGAAAAGTCGCTGTCGGTGTGAACATAGGGTAAAAGATACACAATAAGAATCCAGGACCACACGCAGTTAGGACCGAGTTTGATAACCCTGCTGTAGAGCACTGCGACCTTTAACAAGAGCAGTAAAGCTGTTCCAACACAGAATAAAACATGCAATATACAAGCACCTTTAACACATGACCACAAAAACATCATACCTTGTACTTTTTATGTAATCATTATGAATGCCACTGATATCATTATGTAACTGTCCTTAATGTAGAAAATTTTACTAGAAACAGTCATTCCACAAAGCGCACAGGCACTTTATCTTGCTGTTAGAATTTTACTGTCTGAATTCAAGTGTATGAGATTGTGTGACAAAATAAGTCATGCAGAAACGGTGCATGGCACCCAAAACAGACACATACCGACAACTCCAGTGAGTAAGGCGCCGGCTTTAAGCAACGGACATTCAGCCACATTAGCTAGCAACATATTGTAACTGCACAATTGGAGAAACTTTGGCTACGTTCCTATTACCAGGTTGAAGTGGCACAATTCTGATTTGTTGCCCTAATGTGACCCAGATCTGATGTTTTCTGGACACACAAATCTGATCTTTTCAAATCTGAGTCACTTTCCTATGTGGTCCTAGATCGGATACGGTATCCAGTTCATAGCCGCCATGCAACCTTAATGAGAACGCTCATTTACGCCTGTAAATGGTGAAAAAAAAGCTCACATCTTTTTCGTCTTTGTCTCGCTCTAATAATGAACAACTGAGAGCTGTTCAGAGTTAATTATCTTTGCAGCAAAGGCTTGTTCTGCTCGTTAGTTTGAATGCTGTTCATGATGCATGTGATTCATGATTAGGATGTGCGCATGTGGGTCATTTCAGGATGCCGATTCGTTCACATCAATGACAGATGAGAGTCACGTACCTAAACAAGCGTAAACCATCATGTTAGATTGGATCAAAGCAAAAATCTGAACTTGCAATGACGCTCGAAATGTGAAAATAGCCTTAGGCTTGTGTTTATAATCAATTTGTTCATTCTTATTAGAGTGATCCCTCATTGGCATCTGGAGCCGACAGCCATCAGCACCTGCCTGATCAATATGGCTGTGCGATAAATCGTATTTTTATCGTAATCACAATACGAGTTTCCATGAGAAACACATTGTTAGAGCAGGGATGACAAACAAACACACACACACACACACACACACACACAGTATCTCACAAACGTGAGCACACCCTTCACATTTCTGCAAATATTTTATTATATCTTTTCATGGGACAACACTATAGAAATGAAACTTGGACGTAACAAAGCAATCTCTGTACAGCTTGTTCAGCAGTATAGATTTACTGTCCTCTGAAAATAACTCACACAGCCGTTCATGTCTAAATAGCTGGCAACACAAGGGAGTACACCTCACAGTAAACATGTCCAAATTGTGCCCAATTGTGTCGTTGTCCCTCCCTGGTGTCATGTGACTCGTTAGAGTTACAAGGTTCCAGGTGTGAATGGGGAGTAAGGCTGTTAAATTTGGTGTTTTGGGCACAATTCTTTCATACTGGCCAATGGATATTCAACATGGCACCTCATGGCAAAGAACTCTCGGAGGATGTAAGAAATAGAATAGAATAAGATTGCTAACACCCTGAAACTGAGCTATAGCACAGTGGCCAAGGTCATAGAGCGGTTTCCCAGGACAGGTTCCACTCGGAACAGGCCTTGCCAGGGTCGACCAAAGAAGTTAAGTCCACGCGTTCAGTGTCATATCCAGAGGTTGGCTTCAAAAAATAGAGGCATGAGTGCTGCCAGCATTGCTGCAGAGGTTGAAGAAGCGGGAGGTCAGCCTGTCAGTGCTCAGACCATACGCCGCACAATGCATCAACTCTGTCTGCATGGCCGTCATCCCAGAAGGTAGCCTCTTCTGAAGCTGACACACAAGAAAGCCCGCAAACAAGTTTGCTGAAGACAAGCAGTCCAAGACCATGGATTACTGGAACTATGTCCTGTGGTCTGATGAGACCAAGATAAACTTGTTAGGCTCAGATGGTGTCCAGCATGTGTGGTGGCACCCTGGTGAGGAGTACCAAGACAACTGTCTCTCGCATACAGTCAAGCATGGCTGTGGTAGCATCATGGTCTGGGGCTGCATGAGTGCTGCCGCACTGGGGAGCTGCGGTTCATTGAGGGAAACATGAATTCCAACATGTACTGTGACATTCTGAAGCAGAGCATGATCCCCTTCCTTCGGAAACTGTGCCGTATGGCAGTTTTCCAACACGATAACAACCCCTAAGCACACCTCCAAGATGCATTGCATTGCTGAAGAAGCTGAAGGTAAAGGTGATGGACTGGCCAAGTATGTCTCCAGACCTAAACCTAACTGAGCACCTATGGGGCATCCTCAAGCGGAAGGTGGAGGAGTGCAAGGTTTCTAACATCCACCAGCTCCGTGATGTCATCATGGAGGAGTGGAAGAGGATTCCAGTAGCAACCTGTGCAGCTCTGGTGAATTCCATGCCCAAGAGGGTTAAGGCAGTGCTAGATAATAATGGTGGTCAGACAAAATATTGACACTTTGAGCACAATTTTCACATGTTCACTGTGAGGTGTACTCACTTGTGTTGCCAGCTATTTAGATATTAATGGCTGTCTGTTGAGTTATTTTCATAGGACAGTAAATCTATACAAGCTGTACACTGACTACTTGAAGTTACACCCAAGTTTCATTTCTATAGTGTTGTTCCATGAAAATACATAAAATATTTGCAGAAATGCGAGGGGTGAACTCTAGGCAAAAAAAATAAATAAATAATAATAATAATTGTTCAAACACAGTTTTAACAATAAATGATCTTAAACGCTGGAATTAAGGTAGCCTATAACTGCTAGTTCACCTGGCTAGTAGTTAAAAAAAAATGGTGCAGCAGTTACATTCTGGCGCCTCAGGCACCATTTAAGGTGGAACGGGAAAATTCTAACAAGAAGCTGGAAAACGAGAAACTGACTTCAGCTTTGTAAAAAGTAGAACATTTAGAGACATTTTACAAGAAACTGTTCTACTTTTGTGCAAAAGTTTTCAGCTGGTGATGCAAGAAAAATGGTTACAGCTGAGCTAAAGTTTAAAGCGGAGCAAAGTAAGTCTGCATTTTTTTTTGTATTATATTAGTCTATTTTAGTCTAGGACATTAGCACATACTGAGACACACGTACAGCCAAAATGGTAAAATAGCCTCAAAATGTTCCCAAAGTGGTTTTATTTTTGTTGAAAAGACAAAATGACTCTTATTAACATTTGGGTTGCCGACCCCTGCACTAGCTTTTAATGTAGTGTGCATGCCACAGACTGTACAGGCATTGCACTTCCGCACTTGGCAAAGTTCTGCCTTTTGCATTCCATCAACATTACATAATCAATTAAAATGTAGAAAATCGATTTTTGACATTTGTGAATCAATTCAGAATCGTCCACGTCCACAATGCATCTAAGAATTGATTTTTCCCCACACCCCTAGGTAAAATAGTCGGACATTTCAAACACAGTCCTGCAAACACGGCAGAGCTGAAAGTTCAGCAAGCCTCTAATGGTCAAGGAGAGCACTCGTCCAGAATGTACCCACGCGCTGGAATTTAACTCTTGAAATGAAAAAGTGGGTGTAACAAAAGGCACACTGAAGGCACTGCTGGCACAGCAGAAGCACAATTTAGCTATGCCTTTTCACTGCCATACAATTCATGAATTCTTGTTATGTATTTTTGGGGGGACAAGTAGTTACCAGTAAAACTTCAAAATTAATTATGATTAATCGCAACCTATTATTGCGATTAATTCTATTACTTTTTTATACACCATTAACATACACACACACACACACACACACATTTTGTATCTTGCTATTTGCTTACAACAGATAGTTAGATCTCTGTTTACACATCCAAAAAAGCCACATCTACACGTCACATCCAGTCATAGGCACACTATTTTAAAGAAATCATTTATAGATTCTCAAATACTCATGATATACGACAGCTCAGGAGTGGCACCCACCATCAGTGTCCGACACTCGGGAGGGGCACCTGCCAACAGTATCTGACAATCAGTAGGGGGACCTGCCATCAGTATCTGACACTCAGAAGGGGCACCCGCCATCGACAGCCATCAGTATCTGATAATCAAGAGTGACACCACTCTCAGGGTTCATACACCTATTCAAGGTCAAATTCAAGCACTTTGCAAGCACTTTCAAGGTCCATTTTCAAGCTTTTCCAGCAACCTTTCAGCTGTAGCAAATCACATATTTATAGAAATACAGACTCAAAATAATTAATTCACTTATCATCACATTAAAGGAAATGGTATTATGCTATAAACAACCAGAATTGTTCGGTAATAGCAGAAGGATAATAAATTAAAGGAAAACACATACGTTTTATGTTTCAAAACGTATCACCTGTTTGTAAGTAGACTTTCCTTGCTGTCTAACCTTGCTGAGCCAGGACCAACAATTACCCAAAAAAAAAAAATCACTCGATAAATAACTTCATTTCCAATTAATTCTTTGCTGAAAATGTCAAAAATAACTGCAGATTGCAGTCACACACTAGCTTGCGGTGTATCAGTCGCAAACAAGCTCTTCGAGTCAGATCTTTTAAGTCAGAGGTCGACAACCCAAATGTTAAGAAGAGCCATTTTGTCCTTTCAACAAAAATCAAACCACCTTGTGAGCCACAATATTTGTCCATTTTAACATTTTGGCTGTAAATATGACTCTGTATGTACTAATGTACTAGCATAAGCTAAAACAAATATAATATAACTTTGCTTTAAGCTTTAGGTCAGCTACAGCCGTGCTTCTCACATCTTCGGAAGGAAACTTTAACAAAAGTAGAACAGTTTCTTGCAAACTTTCTCTTAACATTTGACTTATGAGGCTGAAGTCAGCTTCTCATTCACCAGCTTCTTGTTCAAATTTTTCTTTAATGGTGCCTGAGGCTCCAGAATGTAACTGCTGCACCACTTAACTTCAGCTTTGTGACTTTTTAGTGTTCAGAAACCAGCTGGAGTGATTAAAAATGCAAATATTCCATTCATCTCTAAATTATCGTTCGTCCTAAATCTTTCTCTTTGCCTTTTTGTTAGCTACTAGCTAGGCTAGACGTGTCTACGTTGCTATGGTGACCAGCAATCTGTGTGCTGATCTTCAGGGTTAAAGTGTGAATTGGCAGCATTTAAGACCATTTATTGTTAAAATTGTGTTAGAATGACCAGCAGAGCTTTATTTTACTGCAAAGGAGGATTATGTTATTTTACCTAAAAATCAAATTCTGTTGTGGAGCCGCAACAGGGCAGTATAAGAGCCGCATGTTGTCGACCCCTGTTTTAAATGAATGATGGAAGCCGGCTCCCTTCCAAGAGCTGTTTTTTTTTTTTCTTTCTTTTTTGTAACTAATACAAGGCAGAATGTTAGGGTGATCCTCTCAGCGGTGGTATAACGAAGAGCCATTGGCGGTAAAAATACCACGTCACAAGTGGTAACTGCTGCTGTTTATCGTCGATATGTGCCACTCATCAGTGACAGGTGTCTGCATATCACAGCAGACTAAATGCTTTTCTGATAGTAGCACGCCATCTGTAAGTGGCACTATGCACGACATAACAAAAAACATCTTGGCAGTGGCCGCTAGTGCCACCATGGTCACCTGTGAAAGCAGCCAGTTTCTATGCTGCTCACTCTCAGAAGCAATGCACCTTCACTCTACAAAAGCTGCAGAATCCTAAGTACTAATAACTTTACTAGAATATTATGTGCACATTAGCTGTTTAGTGATAGCAGCATTGAATATAGTTTGTAAAATATTTCATAATATATTTAGTTAAAATAGGTTTGCTTTGAATAATAGCAGGCAAGTCCACATCGTTGCAAGTCTAGATAAGTCCATCTTTTGACACTGACTGCTATCAATGGCTGGTGTGGCTTGAGTTGGCAATTGCCACTAATGAGAGTCAAATGCCAACGACTGGTGCCAACTGCACTGGCAGCTGCAACTACTGAGAGTCAGATGCATATAGCTGTTGATGGCTGGTGCCACTAGCGCTGGCAAATGCCACTCCTGAGCAGGAAGATGCCAATGGCTGTCTATTCCAGGTGCCAATGAGAGATCACTCTAATTAATAAAAATGAATAGCAACAAAATCATGATAAATGACCTTTACAACATTTAGTTTATTAATTAAAAACCTTCTCAACCTTGCTCCTGGAGGCCCACTGCCATACAAATGTAAGTGCTTTTCCTCCTTTTAAACCCACTGTAACTCAACAATGGATTGCTAATAAGCTGATGAGTTGTATCATATGTGCTAGGAATGGGGAAAACACTACACAGCACAGGTCAGTGGGCCTCCAGGACCAGAGTTGAGAAACAATGCCAAAAACAAAGAAACAAAAAAACAAAAAGTAATTCCACAATACATCTTCAGAGTCTTCAAATAGACACATACTCAACACTTCTCGTAAGTTTTGATTGCCGATTAATGATGTGCTGCTAACTAGTATAGTCAAGTGGCCGGTGTGCAGTGTCACAGGTTTAATCACTGGAATTGTTGGTATGTGCCTGTTTTGAGTGGCATAATGTGCTTCTGCATGGCAGGTGCCACTGTCAAGCACCACTATAGGAGTGTGGTGTCACACAACAGTTATCGATGGCAGCTGCCATTCACAAAGTGGCACCTGTAGATACATGCCATTTCTGGATGGCAGAGTACTTTCTGCTGCCAGATGCCAAAAGAGTGTAATGAATCAATTTCAACCTCTCTGAATACTTACATGAGGCGCAGTGAGCAGACAGCCAGTGCCACACTCGTAGGCCTCCCTGAATCGACCCAGCTCTCTGAGGCACAATGCTTTCCTGTAGAGTGCTCTACGGCTGCCCTCTGAAACGCACAGGGCACTGTCACAGTCCTGCACCCCTCGCTCATACTCACCCTGAGCAAGACAAGAAAGACAACAAAATAAAACTGTCAGGCACAGATTCAGCAGTATTCTGACAGTCACTCAACGTTGTGGGCATTCTGCAAGCAAAGACATGAAGATGCATTTAATTTTTTTGTGAATTTCTCTACCAGCAGTTCAAACTCAGGAACACATTTCCATCAAGACTTTCACATATATTGTAATTGGACACATACTGTTTGGTTTGGCTTTCCTCACTTTTCAACAGCATCGTGACAATTAAGATGTGTAATGGCATATTAAACCTGTCATTTATGTTTCCACATGTTTCCATATGTCTTTAGTTTTTGCAAAATTTCAAATACCGGCAAACAATTTATCTGCTAAAGTAGAAAACTGATTAAATAAACTTTGCCTCTATTTTTAAAATCTTACCAATAACTGCCATTTCCATCGTCTACATTATCAAACACTTCAAAACATTATTCCACTTTCTTATAAAGTCCCTTGAATGGAAACCCATCCACTGGTACCTCTGCATTTTGCTGCTATGATTCAACATGAGAGGTGGATGCAAATTGTTAAATTAACTGACCCATAGAAGGTGAACGAGCATACTTACAAGGTTATAGTGTGCAGCTGCTCTGTTAACATACAGACTCTCCAGCAGTTCTGGAGGAATCACCAGTGCTTCAGACTGGGCATACCGGGCTACATTAACACCCTCACTGTAGTGTGCTGCTGCCTGCCTCCATTCTCCGTCTCGAAACACTGTGTTACCTTCATCCAGCAAATTGCACACTAACTGAGTCAAAAATGCCTAAAACAGTATAAAAGGACATGAGATAAAGATTCCATTTGTGACTTTAATAAATTAACTTTACATTAGATACACAATTACAAACACCAATGAAAGTTACATACAGGACATACTGACCTCATAACCTTCAGGATCAGGAAAAGGCAAAGATGACCTGCAGCAACAAAGAAGACAATTCTACTACATCCATGTAGTAACGTCTTGCGTGCATTAAAAAAAGGAAAAAGCAAAATGACTTACTGAATGAATCCCAGAGCTTTCTCAATTTCCTCCTTGCGTTTCTGTCTCTCTGGATCCATACCTGCAAATTAGAAAAGAGCATCAGTGGACGTTTACCAATGTTCAAACTTGACATACAAAAAATAGAAATCTAATTATAAATATTGTTACAAAAACAAAACCACGGCAGGATCGCTGGCGTCCTAAGTGGCATTGTTTCGCTCGAATGTTCAAGTTGGCTTATAATTAGCCTGACAGTTAAGCGGTCCAACAAAAAATTAGTCAGTCAAGAAAACGTTGTAGTCATCTAAACATTCAGGTCCAAGTGAACGAAATGAACTATAGTTACACGAAGTGGCTCAGCTATTTTAGTTGTGAGGCCTGTGTTTTTTTTTAAGCCGAGCTGTTCCCAGCCAAGCCCCGCGCTTGCCTGGGGAAAAGGCCGTGAATATGGACTTAGCTAGCTAGCTAGCTAACCTACGGAGCAAACACTGCCACAAGTAACAACGCGCAACCTTGGTAACTAAAAAGGAATTCATTCGCTTCGTATGACTCGCTTTTTGTTCACGTTCATTGTCTAAGTAGCTAATAACGATCCATGAAAGCCGCTGTCAGCAGCCATAACCAGTAAAAAAGTTAACTAAAACGTGTTATTTTATGTTTATTTACCCAACTAGGAGCTAACGTTAGCCACTACAGCTAACGACATTTAGCCATATAGCTAGCTATCTAGCTAGCTTGCCGGCTAACCGAGCTGTAAAGTTATCTGTCAACTTTGGTTTGTTCACGGATTTATTAAGTCCACAAACAAACGGACTGCATGTAACCTAACGTTAGTTAGCTAAGGTTTATTACAAAAGTGGCTTGTTTTGTGCACGTTCACTTACCCACCTCGCTAGTTTATAGGGTAAAATCGACTTCACTCCCAGTCTGTTTTTAAGACACAACTTAATTCCTTGGAAAGTGGTGCTGCGAGCACAACGCCTGATTACTCTTCTAAACTCATGCTTTCAAAAATATCCGTCCCCCCCAAATTTGCTAACTAGAGTTGTTAAATCTGGATGGAACATGTGATACTTCCCAGTTGGTTTGTCCAAGTTGCGCTCAAGTTTAATAGGACCGCTGGATAGACTTCGGGGTCCTAGAGTCTGACGGGTCCACGGTTACGTTTTGATCGTTAAAAGTTGGCGATTACTGAATCAATTCGACTCAGTAATCGAGTTACTCAGATTTGTACAGTACATTACTCGTCTGTTTCAATACTGTTTTTATATGTCCATTGACTTGCCTTTGCAGTTTTCCCTTGCGGGAATCTCTACTGGGGGAGGCGTATCGTACTGTATTAGCTACCGAGAGGTTTGTTAGATGCTTTGGAAGCTCGGTAAAGTTAGGCTGATATTGGATATCCAGCAGATATTCACGTTTCACCCTTCCTGTTGCTCACTCAAATCACCTAAAATCTCAATCAGAATTACATTTTCAAAATTGCAATGAAACAGAGAACAAACTACAATCCTAATATTTCGTCCTAATATCAAAATTCACAAAAACTGGTGGATTGAAAACCCGCTTGAGAAGTGCGGGTACTGTTTAAAAATGTAATACATTCACAGAGATAAGGAACCTATTGGCAGTTTTAACTGATTAAACATCTAGTGGATTGGCAGATTGCCTTGTCAAACATTACAACACATTCCAGTTTCTAAACATTTTACTAACATAACTTGGTGAAACTGTATCATACTTCATTAAGCCATTATTATAAATTTGCTGCTATGTACATAAAAAAGTTGTGTGAAAAAATACAGACTTAGCAAAAACGTGCTATAACTGTACCGAGGCACACCACACAATCCTACTGCAACAAATGTAAGAAAATGCTACTATGCTGGAGGACTTTGTTCCAAAAAGGGGAGCGACTTCAGTAGTGTGGAGGTGGTTTGGTGATAAAATCTCGGATGTACAACAGACCACAGTAATATGCAAGATATGCAAGAAGCCTGTAACAACAAAAGGGGGAAACACAACTAATCTGTTTCACCACCTCAAGCAGAAGCACTCAGTTGAGTATGAGGAAAGTCAAAAATGCCGCGAAGAGTGCTCATCAGCCAATGTGAGTTCAAACCCAAGCAGACAGTCTACACTGACTCAGCATAGCATCACTGTATCTCTGGAAAGCTGTACTCCGTATGACAAGAAGAGCAAACGTTGGAAAAAAATTACCGACGCTATCGCGTTTTGTTTGGCTAAAGATATGATGCCAGTTCAAACAGTTGAGAAGGAAGGCTTCACACAGCTTATTAAAAAGGTAGACCGCAGATATAGCGTCGCTAAAAGGCAATATTTTTCAAGGACAGCACTCCCGGACATGTATGAAAAATGCCGTGATAAGGTAGCAGCTTCACTGTCTTGTGCAGAGTTCTACGCCTCCACCATGGACATATGGTCAAGCAGAACTACAGAGCCTTATCTTAGCCTAACAGTGCACTACATTAACCGCGAATGGAAGCTGTGCAGCTCCTGTCTTGAGACGAGCTACTTTCCCGAGGACCACACAGGGCAAAATATAGCAGATGGTTTAAAGGAGTTTCTCCAGTCGTGGTGTCTCAAAGAGGAGAAACAAGTGTGTGTGACAACAGACAGCGGGGCAAACGTTGTTAAGGCAATTGAACTGAATAACTGGACCAGACTGTCATGCTTTGGACATCGTCTCCACATTGCTTTTGGTAAGTTTTCTTTATTAATTTTTATGAAATATTCGCCTTTGACGTTATAATAGCACATGAACAAATACTTTTACAATAACGTTACACAGAGGGCCCATAAAACGTCTGATATCGTCTGACATTAACGTCTACGTTGTCTGAAGTTTCATTCAGAGCCTGATAGAAAGTTTGATTCATTTTCCTGAACCGATTGCGAATCAATTAACCGACTGTGATTCAACTAATTCGTTTTGCTTTAGAGTCATTGTCAGTGTCAAACTGATTCATTGCTACCAAGTGAATCAAAGCCAGTGTACACTAGTGATGAATGGTGGAACTGTAGCATATATTTTAGCCTGGGCAACTGACTGGTTTGTTTTCTATTTACCCATCAAATAGTACTATAGATATAAGTTTTGTTTTGTTTGGACCTTGAGGAGATTAAAATTCTATAAATTGAGAAATGTTACATAGTTATTGCATTAACAAGTCATTTAATATTTATGCTAAGCTAACCATATATTAAAAATATACGGTTTCCAAATGCCTAACTTTAAAGTTTTTTTTTTCTTGCTTTGCAGAGAGAACCGTTAAGGACGCCAGGGTTGACAGAGCAGTGGGAGTTTGCAAAAAGATTGTGAGTGCTTTTTTTCTCACAGTTGGAAGAGGCAATGGGCTCTTCAAGATGTTCAGAAAGACATGGGCCTACCCCAACATAAACTTGTACCAGAAACTCCCACGAGATGGGGTTCTAGGCAAAGGATGATCCAGCGGCTACTGGAACAAGAAAAGGCCATCACTCAGGTCTTGACTGCTGACAGGTCAACAAGGCACCTAGTCTTGACATGGCAAGATATAAAGGTTCTTGACTCCGTGAACAAGGCCCTTGGTCCTCTTCTAGAATTTACAGACGCACTGTCTGCTGAGGACTATGTCACTGTTTCATGTTTGAAGCCTGTGCTTCAGTTATTTAACAGTGACATTCTACAAGTGAAGGAAAATGACACAGACCTCACCAAGACTATAAAAAACTCAATACTGGAGTACTTGAACAGCAAGTATGAAGACCCTGAGGTTGAGGAACTGATAAGTCTGGCAACTATGCTTGACCCACGCTTCCACACTCAGTACATGGGCCCAGAAGAAATCCAGATCATGAAAGCCAGAGCAGTTCAAGAGATGGAATCTTTTCTGTCAGAACAGAGTAGCACCTCTGCCTTTGAAGCACCTTTACAAGGTTCAGGATCAGCAGAAGGCACAGTAAGTGATGCAAAGAGGCCAAAGAAGACTCTTGGAAGCTTTTTCAAGAGGGCAGTACCTGACAAGGGTGGACAGTCTGAAAAAGAGACAATTGAAGCAGAGCTGAACAGCTATTTACAGTGTTCTCCAGCAGCAACAGTGAGAGTGATCCTCTTGCGTGGTGGAAACTGCACAAGATTAACTTTCCTTGGGTTAGTCGTTTAGCAAAAAAATACCTGTGCATCCCAGCTACCAGCCTCTGAAAGACTTTTTAGCACAGGAGGCAATATTGTGACTTGCCAAAGATCAGCACTGAAGCCTGCTACAGTGAACATGCTTGTGTTCTTGACAAAGAATCTGAGACTGTTATGTTGGTGCACGGAAAGCCACATGGGTTACTAACTTTCTGCCTCTAATTGGTAGCATGTTTAGGCAGCATTTCAGAAATGAAGGTGCATGTGTTGCACATTATGCCTTTTTTGAAGGCCATATTTGTTTTGCATTTACTGTGAAGCTTTACGAGTATTATTATTATTTTTTACGAGTAATTGTTTACATTTGCAGTTTATATGCATGCACAAAAGTTTCTGCACTTTAATTTTGTGCTAGATTTTTTTACATTTGTTACAATACATTACCTTTGTTACATTATTATATTTTATTTGTAATTTATTATTTTATACAAAATCAGAGTTGGTAAGTTAATGATTACAAAATAAAAAAAAGTTTACAGTTTTTTTGTTTCTACTGAATATTTAAAACATATTTATACAAAATAAATCTTTAACATTTATTTTGTTGTAATAGTATGTTTTTGAAATTAATAAAATATTATTCAGTGTTTTGTCATATCGCCAAAAATATTGTTATCGCAGAAATATCCTTAAATATTGTGATATTATTTTAGGGCCATATCGCCCACCCCTACTGACAAATATACTACACTTAGTTTGCTAAGAAATGCTTTGTTTAAATTTTAAGTAAATGTTTCAGTAATAAATAGGTACTGTGACACATCCATTTGAAACATAGATCTAGGGACACATTTGACAAACATAACACATTTGACAAACATAATACTTTTTGGTAAGATAAGACCTTGTTGAGTTTTAAGTAATTTTTATAAGCAGTAAATTACTATTGTGATACATCCAAATGACATACAGGTATAAAATTATATGTATTCTACAAAGAAATGTCTGACAAACATACTACAACTTTTAGTTTGGTAAGATATGCTTTCATTGAATTTTCACAAAATGTTTAAATAAAATTCAACCAAAGTATTTTTTTTCGAACTAAAGCTTACACATCTCTATACATTTTACATATCAAACAGCAGCATTTTTTATTTATTATAATAAAAATCCTCCAATTTTAACAATTTAATTTATTCTTTAACCAAAGTTTGTTGTAAGTTTATGATACTTGTCAGTGTAACAAACTATTGTGGCATGATACATGTACTGAGCAGGTTTATTAGAGACAATCCAACACTCATAGTCATCAGAACCTGGAGTCAGCACGCAGATAAGCAGGGATAACAAAACACAAAAAGGGTCAAAACAAGAGATATCACAAAACAAGAACAAAGAACACAGCTAATGCACTAGGAAATTTGCAAGACGTCATAAGTCAAAAGACCAAAAACACAGGCAGTACTGTGCAAAAGCCTTGGACACTTAAGTAAATGGGTTAAAATATTTTATCTTGGTTGTAAGTGTGATTTTGCTAGTAATAACACCATATAACTTTAGAATAAATACATCAATACAGTAAAATATAACTAGAATTTCTTGTATTCAAAAACATAATTGAGATATTTGAGCAGGTTAGAAGAAGAAGTTTGGTTCCCTTCTCCTCAATGCCTATTGCATGTGTTCAAAACCACAGACCAGCACTCCTGATTTAACACACTGAGGGCTTGAGTAGGTAAACCCACTGTTTGGGTTTGCAAACTACAAATAATACTGGGCGTCCACAAAGACAGGTTTAGAAATAGTTAAGAGAACACATTCACTGTAAAAAAAAAGTTGAAATTTTATGGAAAATAACTCTGTATACACAATTGTATACACAACTCAACTAAATCTAAATCAACAAGCCAACTGTTATTTTAAGGTTTATGCCAATAATGGCATATTACATTAATTTCTTATTTTTTACAGAAAAAAATAAGAAATTAATTACATACAAATTCATGTAAAATGACAATAATTATTTGTAATTAAATATGTAGCACATAATATAAAGGTTTATTTCCATACTAACAATTTAATGTTTTTTCTTTGTACTTGTAAGGTAAATTTTATTAGCTTTATATTTTTGTATACTTTTACTCTCAAGGTTGCAACTTTCAGGCATGTTCTGGAGCTGGATTCACAAAAGCTTTCTTTAGAAAAAACTTGAGAAGTTTTTTAAGACTAACACTAAGAAGCTCTTAAGAATGTTCTTAAATGCAAACTTAAGAAGTTTTCAAATATTCTCTTAAACTAATCTTAATTTTTTTAAAGATATGCATTGTTTTTTAAAACAATATGCATTGTTTTCTTAGGTATGCTACATTGCACTTTACCATGTACCATAAATGAAGCAAGATACACTTTGAATGTGTATTAACTGTTTTTTCCGTTACTTAGTTTAATCCGCTCAGAGGAGCAAAACTGAGGAAAAACATCAAACCAAGCATTTAAAAAAATTTTGCAAACAAGAACTAGAGGTAATGGGAAACAACCAACAGGAAAAAAATCCTCTTTGGAAATATGATAATTGAGGGTTGACGGATGAGGATGCTCAGAAGCAGCAGAGGTAGTGTCTGTGATAAATTTAGATGCTCAACTTGTCAACTCTTACAGCCTAAGACAAGTGTGAGGCTGTCATAAGATTAAGAAAACATTTAGGCAGGGGTGTAAAAAGTACTGAAAATACCTACTTAAGTACAAGTACTGTTACTACAGTGCAAGTACAAGTAAAAGTAATAGTAAGTAGAATTACTCAAGTAAGAGTAAATAAGTAGAAAAAGTACTTAAGTTCTTGAGTTACTTTTTGTTTTTCCGCTGTCACAACCTGAAAATATTTCTGAGCTGACTCGGCTACATCATTGGAAATAATCTAGTTTGTATGGCTTCTATGATGGCTTCTGCCGTCCTCACCACTCCTTTAAGGGCCTTGCGGTTGCAGGCAGTGCAGCTGGCTGTACCAGACAGTGATGCAGCCCGTGAGGATGCTCTCTATGGTGCATTTTTAGTAGGCAGACCAAACTTCCTGAGCCTGCGCAGAAAGACGAGCAGATCTCACAATAGTGTTGGTGTGGAGGGACCAGGTGAGATCATCAGTGAGGTGTACGTTGAGAAACTTCACACTGCTGACTCTCTCCACTTCGGCTCCATTGATGAATAGGGGAGAGTGACCACCCCTCTGAAGCTTCCTGTAGTCCACAATCATTTCCTTTGTTTTGCTGATGTTGAGACAGAGACTGCTGTCATGGCACCACTCTGACAGAGCGCTAACCTCGTCTCTGTAAGCTGTTTCATCTCCATCAGTGATGAGGCCTAGGATGGTAGTGTCATCAGCAAACTTGGAGATGATGTTAGACGTGTGTCTGGATACACAGTCATGTATATACAGGGAGTACAAGAGGTGTGGAAGAGAAGCTGTTCCCAACTTTCACCACATGGGGTCTGCTCGTCAGGAAGTCCAGTATTTACACACCTTTCAGTGAACTGTGTAAGGAACAAGGTTTACATTAAACTACATGCATTTCATGGTTAGATGATTCTATATGACTTCCTAATTTATCTGTTTTTAAAATGTATTTTTAGAATCCCTGAAAGACTGTGCAGAGGTTATTATTTAATTAAGTTCATTTAAGAGACAAAAACTGAAATTTTTGAAATTTTCAAAATTATGAGTAGATTGTTTAATTAATAATGTAATTTTAGTGCTGCTGCCCATCAGCTCCCTGGACTCTAGCTTATGTTAATAGGTATGAACCTCTACATACAGTTAACACATTTACAGCCTCCAAACTGTATATTTTCAATGATATCTGTTCAGAACATTTCTACCATTAAAATCAGCAGCAACATCAGCAATTTACCCAGCTTTCAATTTTTTAGTGTAAAAGAATTTAACAGGCAGATGTAAAATAATCCAGGTAATAATCTAGGTAACAGCTATTGCTAGTGGACCGATGGAATAGAAGTAGCAACAGCAACACACCCACTCTAAAATACATATTTTCAAATTTGACGTTAAAGGCGCACTCGGCTGTCATTGGCGAGTTTCCTGAATGACTGTCAGTTTAACCAATCCTGCTCAAAGAAACACGATAAGACAGCCAATACCAACTGTTACAGCATGGTAGCATAGCAACTAGGAAAAGATGACTTGTAAAAGAAAGAAAAATAGAGAGAAGAAAAATGTGAAAAAAAGTAATTTAGGATTATTAGTAGACTGTTATATTAAATTAATTGGTCAGATAATGTTTTCATTACAATGTATAAATAAAAAAATAGTAATGTGTGATTAGGTTTTATTAATACCTATATGCTTACACACACACACACACATAGACATGGTACAGTATATAACATATATGTATATATTTCCACAATTAGTAAGTTTAAGGCCTGCCAGGAGGGGCAACCATCGGTCAATCCAGTCCATCAGTCCATCTGTCTCTAAGTCTGTTGTTCAAACAGAACTCCAACACACTGATCCATATGCTGTTTCTCCTCTACATTTAGCCTACTTAG